GGGCCAAGCCCTATATCCATTGTTGGCCATAGCTCATTTAATTAGGCTCACAAACCCTGACACAGGGGCATCATCATCCCACAATGAAAGAGAAGACAGTACAAGAGATTTAGTAACTGACTAGCTGTGTACTGTGGAGTGAGTTGCAGGGTCTGGGTTTGAAGAACCTTAGGGCAGATCTGAGCTAGGCTGAAACTATTGCCCTTCCTCAGTTTGGTGCTGGAGTCCAGTTTTGTAGGACACAGAGACTCTGGGACCCTTCTTTTCCTGTTTCCTTGTTCTTCCTGGTTGGTTACTAGCAGGCATTTGCCCACATAAGTAGACCAGGCACCTGAATGCTGGATTCTGAGACTGCTCTATCCTGCTCATAACCTGCCAGCCTGAGCACTCAAAGGTGTCTTTGCTCTCTAGAGGTTTCTCTCTGAATCTAGAAGTGGCCTCAGAGAGAGAGGGCAATTTATTCATTACCTGATACAGGAGATTTCTCAACAGAAACAGCTCATAATACATTTCCGTTTAGAGAACTGCATTGGCCATTTAATATTTGGGTTTTGAGTCCCTGAGGCCTCTGTGTCCTGGGGGGCAAGGTGGGAGGCACCTACAGATTTCCCCCTGAGGTGGCTGCAGCCTAGCTAGGCCATGGCCATGATGTTGGCATTCTGTCCAGAGATGCTGTGGGGTTCATGGTACTCACTCCTTACCCTTGTTTCTCACACTACTTAAACCTTGGAAATATTTTCATCTGTGCATGGGTCAAGTGCCTCAGGAAGTTACCTACGTCAAGGTCAGGAGCAGTAGGTGGTGGCAAAGCCCTGGGCCCTTGGAGCCCAGATGAGGTGGTTTTGAGTCTTCTGTTCCACCATTGCTGCTTCTTCATATTTCTTCATAGCTTTGCCTCTCCATGCTTCAGTTTCTTGACCTGGAAAATAGTGACAAACACATCACCCACAGCTAAAGGTTGTTTTAAGGATAAAATGAGTTAACATTTGTAAACTGCTTATTGGAGTGCTGGCCATAGTGCCTAATCAGTACTAATAAGTACTCAGTCTAGTATTGCTGTTAATGTTAGTAATAGCCTCTGGGGTGATCATTTGAGTTTGCCTAAGTATTAAGGAAGCTTGTTGGAATGTCTTCCTAAACTGCCAGGAAAAGGTTTGGTCCCTTTTGAGGAAAGAGTGACCCCAGAGGAAAGGCAGGACCATGAACAACTCAGCATAGTTGCCCTGAAGAAGTACTTATCTTGGCAATTCCTAAATGACCAAATACCACCATGGTTAAGAACTTTGGGTGCTGATGGCACATGCCTGTAATTCTAGCTACTTAGGTGGCTGAGATCTGAGGATCATGGTTTGAAGCCATCCCAAGCAGGAAAGTCCATGAGACTCTTAACTTCAATTAACAAGCAAAAAGCCAAAGTAGAAGTATGGTTCAGGTGGTAGAACACCAGCTTTGAGTAAAAAAAGCTGAGCAAGAATACAAGGACAGGAGTTCAAGTAGACCCAGTACCTGCAAAGAGTAGAAGCTCATCGTGAGACTGAAACAAGTATAAGCTGTGGGATGGCTCACTTTGTTGAGTTTCTTAAACATTCAGCATCTCTTTGTAGATATCCACAGAGTGTTAGGCCCTGGCTGGGCCTCAAAGTTTAGCAAGGTCGAAGGTAGAGTTTAATCTGTGTTTTCCTGTCTCTGATGGCCACATGCACATACATTTACCTGTATGCATACCTGTCTACTCATTCAATACATATAAAGTTACATTGGCTACTATACAGGAATTCAAGAGATTTTACTCGAAATCTCATCCTGACTTGGTTTCTCACGCATCTGCATATTCTACCTGCCAGATGGCAAGATAGAATTGATTTTAATAAGAAACTGCCACTCGGCTCTAAGCCACTATCCAAGTGATGGCAGCCACCTGGGCCAGGAGCTGGCAGGTAAGTTACCTCTTCTGGCATCAGACTTTTCCTGGCATCCTCCCCTTCAAGAAGCTGATTGGGACATTTTATTTTTCTTTTGCCTGCTGAACAGGGAGAGGCCCGGAAAGGCTGTCACTCACAGTGAGAAGTTCCCTTTGTGAAACTGGCCAACTGTGACCCAAGTCGAAAATGTCAGTAAAAACAAATAGCATTTCACAAAGGCCCTGTACATTTCCTTCCTCTCTGTTCTCACCTCCTCTGTCAAGGGCTATGCGAGTGGCTTAGGGGGACCAGTGACCCCCAAAATAATGAACTCCGCTTCACCTAGTTCTATTCTTTGGGTCTTTGGTAATAATAGAAGCAAAAGAAAATGAATCAACAGGGAGCTGTGTCTTTTTAAGCACCTGTTTGTGTTGCTTATGATTTTCAGAACCAAAGAATATAGTAGAGAATTTTAATCGTTCTCTGATCACATCTTGCACTGATCAGACACTGTTTTCTGGTGTTTGTAACCTACTTCCTGCTGCAGGAGAAAGCACCTGTATAACTCAATAATAATAATGAACTTTTTTTGGTCACCAGGAAACAGTTATGCAGGCATGTCTGTCTCCTTTCTGTGACCTAGTAAAATGAAAGGACCCTTGAACACAAAGTGAGGTGGCTTTTAGTGTTTTAATTGTAAACTATTTATTTATTTATTTACTTATTTATTTATTTATTTTGTCGGTCATGGGGCTTGAACTCTGGGCCTGGGTGCTGTCCCTCAGCTGTTCAGGTCAAGGCTAGAACTCTACCACTTGAGCCACAGCGCCACTTCCAGCTTTTTCTGTTTATGTGGTACTGAGGAATCGAACCCAGGGCTCTCATGCATACCAGGCAAGCAGTCTACCACTTGAGCCATCTTCCCAGCCCCAACTTTATTATTTTTATATCTTCATTTTTTTGGTTGCTACAGGGGCTTGAAGTCAGAGCTTTGCACTCTTGCTAATCTTTTTCTTTTAATGCTGACTTCCAGCACTTGAGCCACACCTCACACCTCCACTTCCACTTCCACTTTTAATATTAAATAGACCTGAGACAGTTTGAGCTCTGCTATTTAATAGCAAGGCAAATTTGAAAAGACACTCCAAAGGTGCAGGGTACCTTGGAACACATTAGCAAGAAGAGAGCTCTCCCTCTGTGGTCAGCTCAGAAATGTAGAACAAAGTTACTAGGATTTAGGAAGAATCTAAGGCTCTAAATAGAAAGGCTCACTTCCTTGGTAATTCATTTCTCTGAGATGGCTAGTAGAATTTTCCCAATTTCCTCTGGGCTTGCCACAGAGAGAAGTTTGGAGATTATTAGGCTGAAGCCAATTCTAACTGATTTGAAACCTGGCTTTTAACTAACACAGAGTGATGCCTGACCTAGCATTTGGGCCAGAGACCATGTTAGAATTACCTTCTTAGAGAAGACAGTGTCACTGAGGCTCAGGGGGGTGGAGAATAGAGCATTACCAGGTCAACTTCAGTGGCTTGGCTCTTCTGGATGGAATTCACTCAAGTGCACACCAGGGTCAAGAGAGTCCAGATAGAATGACGAGTTTTCAATTAAGGTCTTTGATGTTACAGAGGGTGAAATAGAGCAGGATGAATTTCTTGCTCTTGGCAGGTTTCAGACTCTCTATAAAACTCACCACTTTTTTCATATTAAATAACTATTTCTCCAGTTTATAGAAGTTGAGCTTCATTTTTCAATGTTATTAATTCTTGAGAGCGAATAGCAGCCATTGCACATGTCAATATATTAAAAGTGTCTAGAGGAAATGCATTCGTTTATTCATTCAACCAGTATAGATGAGCATTTACTCTCCTAGAGAAATGGCAGCAAAGAAGCTCTAAGGATTTCCTTGCTTTAGAGCTGTAATTTCAGGCACAAAAGACAATAACCAAATGTCCAAGTAGATAAGTGAACATGTTGTGAAGAAAGAAGTCAGGAGTGAGGGTGAGGCAGGTTTGTACAAGAGGGAACAGGGAAGGACTCTAACACGGGGGCTTACAGAGATAAAATAAGAATGGTGAAAATGGACCAACTGTGCAACTCTGTCATGCATGATGTAGTATTCCAGACTGAGGGGAAAGCAGGCTGTGTTCTCACAGGGGAAGTTATTCCGAGTGCCTGATGGGAGAGAAGGAAAGCCCTTTGCTGAGTGCAGGGCAAAGCCTTTCACGCTGGAATGCATGCTGAAGAGGGAGACGTACCCAAATGGAGTTGGTCATGACTGTGATAAGGAAATTCATTCTGGGTTCAGCCAGCAGCTGCAAAAGCTTATAAACTAGGGGCAACAACCCTTGATTGTGTGAAATGTTCTTAAAATAACAACTAAGTGGAAAAAAAAGAGGCAGCACAGATGCAGCATTACGTATTTACTACTGTTTCAACTAGGCAATCATGTGTGTGTGTACTGGATGTGTGTTTGTGTGTGTTGTGTGCTTATAATTAGTCAACCAACCAGAGGAAAACATAAGTATAGCAAAATGCTTCATTTTTTTAGTGGTAGGATTGTTGCTCTTGTGGTTGTTGCTCTTGTTGCTGTTGTGTGTGTGTGTTCACTACTTCCCTGCATTTTCTGTTTTCCAAGAGTTCCTATTACTCACATGATTTTAAAATCAGTTGCTTAAAAAAAAAAAAAAGCTTTGACGTGTAACAATTTGATGGAGAAACTATTAGAGAGACGGGACTTTACCTGTCAGTCTTCAGTCTTCCCTAAAGTGAGCTTCTTAGCATTAGTCTATTTTTTGTGCATTTGCTGGTTCTCCTGGGGCTTGAACTGAAGGCCTGGACGCTATCTCTGAGCTTTTTTGCTCAAGGCTAGAACTCTACTACTTGAGCTACGTACAGCTCCATTTCCAGCTTTTTGGTGGTTAATTGGAGATAAGAGTCTCACAGATTTTTGTGCCTAGGCTGGTTTCAAACTTCTATCCTTAGAGTGCAATCTCCAGAGTAGCTAGGATTACAGATGTGAACCACTGGCAGCCAGCCTGGTCTACCTTTTTTAATGCAGGTAATTTGTGCAAAATGATCTTTCTGTTGTTCCCACAGATTTGAATATAACCTGCCGCTATGCAGGTGTATTCCACGTGGAGAAAAATGGTCGCTACAGCATCTCGCGGACGGAGGCAGCTGATCTCTGCCAGGCTTTCAACAGCAGCCTGCCCACTATGGACCAGATGATGCAGGCCCTGCGTAAGGGGTTTGAGACCTGCAGGTAAGGGACTCTCATCCCCACAGGGAAGGGCCTGGGGCCTGAGGATGGGGCTTAAAACGGAAGGCTCCTCCCTGCCAGCTGAATGGATGACTGCCTAAAGTGGCCATCCCAACTATTAATTTGGCCAAGCAAATCTAGAACCAGTATGACAACTAGAATTTAGAGTCGGCTAAAGACACCTTTGTGAATCATAGAGAGGGAGGCAAGAGGAAGCTATTAAGGGTCAAATCCGTTGCAAACCCTTTGGCTAATGTGCTCCTACAGCTCTCTCTGGGCTTTGAAGAAGCATGCGGTATCATTGTCGGAACCACAAGAAAACATAAACCAAATAACAGTGTTTAAATAAGTACGTGGCTGGCAGAGTCTTAGTCCTGCAGACTTGGCTGGAAGCACGGGGTTTTTTGTTGTTGTTGTTGTTTCTCTGTTTGTTTTTTCAGCCCTCTGGTCCATCTTGCCCACCCTCCCTTCCTCCCTCCTTCTCTCCCCCTCTAAATAAAAGGACATGGAAGCTTTTCAGCGGTATAATGTAAAGATTTATCATTATTAGGAGCCCTTTCTGGAAGTGCCTTCCTCAAGCCCTCCACAGGCATTGGCTTTGTTGTTGTACATGTCTGTGGTATGTGGTGCGTATGAGCAAGCCCTAGTAACCACTACCGCGGAGTAAGTTTGGTTTGATCTGATGTCCCTGGAAGAGGCTTTCGTCGGCTCAATAAGTAATGCAAAGTTCTCATTCTAGCCTACAGCGTGAGAAGCTGGTTCCCCTCTCTCCAGTGTGTGTTTGTGAGCCCACACTCAAAGGAAGTCTAGTTTCAACAGCCATTGTGGAAACTTGAGTGTAAGTGAAGGGCAGCTCTCCCTGTCCTTGGTCACACACTCACCCACTCACCCTGTGAGTGTGTGAAACTTGTCCTGAATGGGAGGAGGAAGAGCTTTACCTTAGAATGGCTCTGTCTACTCTGATAGCCATTAGCCAAATGTCATGACTCAGCACTGGTGGCTCATTCTGTAATCCTAGCTACTCAGGAGGCTGAGATCGAAGGATCCCAATTGGAAGCCAGCTCCAAACTCTTATCTTCAATTAGCTACCAAAAAAAGCTGGAAGTGGAGCTGTGTGGCTCAAGTGGTAGAGCACTGGCCTTCAGCAAAGGAAGTTCAGGGACAGTGCCCAGGCTCGGAGTTCAAGTCCCAGGACTGGCTCCCCCCCCCCCCAAATACTATTAATAATGACTTCTTCAGTGGCACTGGCTCGATTTCTAGTTCTCAATTAGCCTGTGGCAGCTATATTTCATGACATAGAGTGTTTCTAGGACATTTCCATGAGTTAAGAAAGTTCTCTTGGGTGGTGCCCCTGTAACACAAAGAGCAGGTGGTTGCAAGACATCTGGATGAAAGTGTTGACAGCTAGGTGTAGACAATGGCAATGGTAAAGGAGCAGAAGAAAGAGGAATGGCTATGCAGCTGTAGGCTGCAATGCAGAATAGCCAATTAGCAAATACACTTATTCTATTCCTGAGGCTAATTGTTTGAATCTGGCCCTGACAGGCCACGAGGCTAAGAAAGTGGATTTGGTAAGCTGAGGTTTGCTTGTGAAATACAGGCAAGTCATTCTTGTGAAATACAGAGGTGTTCTTCCCTGTTATGGACTCACAGAACCCTCATTCTGGCCCAAGGGCAACCCTGGAGTGCTGAGGTACTGGCTAAACCCCTTCATTTATTCCTGCAGCTGTCCTGTGGGTCTCCATTACTAGCCCACTTCATGGGTGCAGCAATTGAAACCTAAAGAGGTTCCTCAGCTTGTCTTGCATTAGGCAACTTGCTTGTAGAAGAGTCTGACTTTGTCCTGCTTCATCTGAACTCAGGACATAATTTTGAGGCCTGAGTCCTCCCAAGGAACTGAGGGCAAATGGGGAGGGCAGTCTACTGCATGGATCTGCTGAGTATTTCTTTCCTCCCTGTGAATGGTAATCTACTCATGCCATACACACACATATAAATTTTACTGTCCCCCATTTATGTATAACGCAAACACATAAAAATTGTAGGCAGCATGAGATGGTGAAACCTCGGTAGTAACCTGTGAAGGGAATGGATTAAATTCTAAAACATCAGTATTACACCTACTTGTCCACATAGTGGGTGGGGATGGGGTGAAGAGAAAGTTCACTGAATAGCAGTATTTCAAAACATGAAAGAGGAAAAAAAATCATGCTAAAAAATCCATCATTTCACCCATCACTCGTATTAAGTATTACAAAACTCACTTCCCTATAATTTTCCTTAGTTTGCTATGAATCAGATACCTGCCACGGGACAGATGGCAGCTTCTCATAGGCTAGGATCAAAACCTCAGCAGCTGCTACTCTCTGGTTTACCCCACCCTGATTAGTAGCAATTCTCAGACACATGAAAACTTATTAACATTTAATTGTGTCCCCTCCCCCTACCAAGCTAAGACTTTAGGGAAACCAGTCTGTCTGATCATGTCCATTCAGATGCAGAATTAGTCATAGGAGCTAGCATTGCAACATAGGTATAATGAGTGCTAGGAGCTTCGGCACTTCCAACACACACCAGCCCACAGGTCTTGCAGGGCCATATACTTCATGCTGTTGCCCAGAAGGAACAATCTAAAGGATCTTCGCAGTGCATTTTAGCCTGCATTGTGTTTTCAAAAACTCTGGTCTGAGCATCTGCTGCGTCCTTCTGCTCTCCCATGGCTACCACCTCTTCCTTTGCCAGTGGTATGTTTTTTTTTCAGCCCTCATTTCAGTTTTTGCAGGCTTTTTATATTGTGTCCTAAGTGAGTTTGTAGTTACCAGGATGCAGCTTTGAAGTATGATACATGATTCTGCATGATATCTGACCCTCTGTATCTGGAGAGTCCTCTAGCTAGAACACCTCCCCAGAATCATCTGGAGAGGGACATGTACTCACTTAGTTTCTGTTACTGTCATTTTAACGATTTATTTCCACTGGCAATAGCAAAATGGCTGGGTTGCTCCAGAGATCACGTGTGCTGTGTGCGTAGTTACAGGAATAATGTCTATAGGAATGCAATGTAGGATGAGGGACTCACAGGAGTTAAGGCTAGGAAAGAAGAGGGGAGGATGGAAAAGGAAACAGGTCTGAAATCTATTGAAGGAAATGAAGGACTATCTCTTCTCATCTTATAGGAGTAGGTCATTGTACGTCTTTTCTGAAAAAAAAAATATAAAGGTGATTGAGTGCCAGAGTGAATTTCACATTGCGTGTTCCCTCTTCTGTGACTCATTCAACTTCCTTCTGCTTTTTAAAACTATCCTGAGATTGTTGACCACATATTTGGAGCTACTTTTCCTTTCATGTGTCTTCTTTGTTTAAAAAAAGAAGGAAAATTAGCCAGGTGCCAGTGACTCTCACCTGTTCTCCTAGATATTCAGGAGGCTGAGGTCTGATGATTGTGGTTCAAGGCCAGCTTGGACAGGAATGTCTGTGAAACTATTATCTCCAATTTACTGAGGGGAGGAGGAGAAAGAGGGAGAGAGAGAGAAACTAGAGAGGAAAACATGGATCTTTCATTGGAATCAGTTTGTCTCTATCAACTGTGTTGATCTCTTTACTCTCTGCTATTATTATTGGATTCAGTTTTATTGGATTCACTCCCTGGGAGTGAGTGGAATAAAGTGTCCTACTGAGCTAAATGTCCTTTGATAGGGTATTACAAAATTCCCTTCCCAGCCGTGCAGGTGGATAACTTCTTCTTGCTTCTCCTTGGCAGGTACGGGTTCATAGAAGGGCATGTGGTGATCCCCCGGATCACTCCCAACTCCATCTGTGCAGCCAACCACACCGGGGTGTACATCCTTAACTCCAACAGCTCCCACTATGACACCTACTGCTTCAATGCTTCAGGTTGGTTCTTTGTGCTGCTCTTTACAGTGTGGTTAGCTGACAGCAGTTCAGTCTCAGCATAGGTGGGGATTCAAATTACACAAGCTCACTGACTGTCTGTGAAGTGGAAGCAAGATTCCTGTCTTCATGGTGCTCATGGGCTGGGCCAGGATATAGACAATACATAAACATCAAATCTCTCACCTGAAGGCAAAGAGTGGTATAAATGCTTTAAAGAAAGCAAACTAGGAGGATGGAAAGACTGAGGATCTCTCTCTCTCTTTTTTTTTCCTCTGAGAAGGTAGCCAGGAGAATCTAGATCAAAAAATGAAGAAGGGAAGCCATTGGAAGAAGTCAGTGCAAGACAGGAATGCATCTTCTTTTGCTACAAGAATAACAAAGAGGCCAGGGTGGCTTTCTAGTCCATTTAGAATGCTAGAGATAGGCAGATGCCAGCGGCTCATGCCTGTGAGACGGAGACCTGAGGATTGCGGTTCAAAACTAGCCCAGTCAGGAAAGTCCATGAGACTCTTATCTCTAATTAACTATCGAAAAATAAAAATAAATAAATGAATAAATAAATAAAAAATAGAAAGCCCAGTCAGAAAAGTCCATGAAGCTCTTAGCTCCAATTGACCATCAAAGAATAATAAATAAATAATTAATAAATTAATAAAATACATAAATGAATAAAAACAGAAGAAGAGGTTTGGCTCAAATGGTAGAACACTCACTTTGAGTGAAAAAGGTAAGGAATAACTCCCAGGTCCTGAGTTCAAGTCCTAGTCCCTGCACACACACACACACACACACACACACACACACACACACACACACACACAGAGCTAGGGAATGAAGTCAGAGAGACCAGATTATATAGGGCTGTAAGGGCTGCTCATTCCCCCCCACCCCCACTCCTGGGGCTTGAACTCAGGGCCCGGGCGATGTCTCTGAGCTCCTTTTTGCTCAAGGCTAGCACTCTACCACTTGAAGTGGTATGGCACCACTTCCAGCTTTTTCTGTTTATGTGGTACTGAGGACTAATCCAAGGCTTCATGCATGCTAGACAAGCACTCTATCACTAAGCCACATTCCTAGCCCAGGGCTGCTGATCTTACTGCAACAGGAAGTCACTGCAGTTTTAAAAGAGGAGTGACATGACTAGTGGTAGTTTCTGGGGTGCAAGCCAAATGTCTTAGCCAAGAACTTATTATATATGGGGCTGGAGAGAAGCTAAGGGGATATATGATAGACCTCTGACCTTCTTGAAGGTCACTTACTCAATAGCTGAAACAAGGAGAGAACAAGAAAGCTGAGTGACCATGTTGTTGCTGGGCTGCTGGCCAGGCTCTTTTCCTGTCTATGAAACTTTCAACCACGATCCTAGAAATTCATGCTTATAAGTCTAATTCAAGCCCCAGTACAATCAGAGAATTCTCTGCATCATAAATCTTGAGGATCTTTTGAGAAGTCTATAACCATAAATGTCAAATTATTGAATGCCAGCAATCAAACCCTCACTTCTTAAAGGGAACCTTTTTTTCCCCTGAACGTTTGAAGCTGCACAAAGGGAAAGATGAACTTGCACGTCTTCCTGCAATCCCAGTCCCCTTTAAAGATGGGGAGGGGGGGCGGATATGAAAGTAGCCAGAAAGTAACTTGAGACATTAACTCTTTGGTGTAATAGAAAAACAATTTATTTTTAAGCTAAAGAAGGGACATCAAAGACCTTGGAAGACTACATCAGGGCCTTTAAGCTGAGTCAACCACCCACATGCCATAAGAATCAGAGTGAAAAGTCAGAGAGGGAATTTGGACTTCAGGAGAAAATGAAGTGTTGGGCCTGACTACTCAAATGGAGTATGTGAAGGCACTGAATGATGCCAAATACATACAGACCACAAAGCATATGGAGAGACACACAGAACAAGAAGAGAACTGTGGGATAGTTATTCCTCCCTATTATAGGAGGAAAGAACATAAACAGAGTTTGATCAAAAGGGTAAGCATCTATCCGACAACATGGCTCATGCCTGTCATTCTAGCACTCAAGATTCTGATATCTGAGGATCACAGCCAGGGCAGAAAAGTCCATGAAACTTATCTCCAGTTAACCACCATAAGCCAAAAGTGAAGCTGTGGCTCAAGGGCTAGAGTGATAGGCTTGAGCAATAAAGGTAAGGGACAGCACTCAGGCCCTGAAGTCAACCCACAGTACTGACACACATAAACACAAAAGGTAAAAATCTACTCAAGGCTAGACTGTGCATAGTTCATACCCAGGATGTCCATTCTAATGATATTTTAATGAGCAAAAGCATGTGAAAAGAATCAGGAAGTAGGCATAAAGTGGCCTGCGATCTGACTTTATTTTAGTACAAAAGTGACAGAGCCTAGCATGACTCTGCCTGCTTCTCAGAGTCTCTGTGCACGGCTTTTGCTTCTCCTGCTGATTCTTGTCTAGGGAAAGTACTCAATAAATCATGTGATTGTGTTCTCATATTGTCTCACCTGTTTTACAAGTTGGTGTCACTTTGAGTTAGGGTTTTGAGGACCTTAGTTCAAAAAGGCAACAGCTCACGTTGTCCTATGGCCTCTGTTGAAGCAATCCAGGAAAGCAGCTACTGAGGCTTTTCTCCTGCTCTTAATTTTGCCCATGAGGTTGGCTCAACAGCTCTGACTAACTTTCCTCCCTTAAAGAGAAAGTCATTCAGTTGAAAATCTTGAAAAGTACTGAGGGTGTATTGCATACTAAAATGTTATACTAAACTAGTACTATTAAAAGTAATGTTTTTCCTTTTCTCCATTTTCCACATCAACTCAATGTAGGTAAGGCTTCTTTCATAAGTTTTCTTTAAAGATAGTAATTACAGGTCAGTTTTATGTGCTAGGCAAAATGGGGGCTGAAAAAAAGAATCATATGCTGAGATTTTTGTCTTAGTGGAACGAACAATCTTGTTAAAGAAATAAGACAGGAAATAAAGTAGAAAAGGGGACAGATATTGGTAAGGATAAATAAACTAAAGGCTTTGGCTTAGAATCAGATGATGGGGTTTTAATTTAGCTAACAGTCTTCAAAATCTCCTGTTCCATGAAAAGAATCTTTGAGAAAGATCCTTGAACTCAAACTATCTTGAGAACAGTCAAGATGGTCAAGTCCAGTTGTGGGACCTTACATCCTCCATCTGGTTGAAAGGGACAAAAGCCAACTGGGTCTTAGCAGATAGGTTTTTTTTCTTCTTCCTCTCTCCCCCCGTCCCACTCACCCCCCCCCCCCCCGCCCCACTGGGGCTCGAACTCGAAGCCTGGTACTCTCACTTGTCCTAGATCACCAAAGCTGGTGATCTACCACATGAACCATACCTCCACTTCTGGCTTTTTGCTGGTTGATTGGCGGTAAGAGTCCCACTGACTGGTCTGCCTGGGTTGACTTTGGACCATGACTTCCAGATCCCACCCTCTTGCAGAGCTAGGAGCCACCAGCTCTCCACAGTAGCTATCTTCTGCCAGTTTAAAATCTTAGCAGTATTTCTGTGGCTTACAAGTATAAAAGGACTTGTGATATTTTTTTCCTGCCACATCTTTCAGTTGTTAAGGCCATTCTATAGCCTGGTGACTCCCGTGTGAAGGACAATGAACAAATTCAAGTTCTTTTTTTTTTTTTTGGTCTGTCGTGAGGGCTGAACTCTGGGCCTGGCTGCTGTCCCTCAAGGCCATTGCTCTACCACTTGAACCACAGCGCCACTTCCAGCTTTTTCTTTTTCTTTTTTTTTTTTTTTTACTTCCAGCTTTTTCTGCTTATGTGGTACTGAGGAATCGAACCCAGGGCCTCATGCATGCGAGACAAGCACTCTACCACTGAGCCACCTTCCCAGCCCCAAGTTCATTTTTTTTTTTAAAGCTGCTTTCAGAAGGTAAAATTCTGGGGCATGACTTGCACTAGTTTGCTCATCCATTCACTCATTTATTCAACAACTATTTGAGAATGTTTATGGAATACAAATACTGGAGTAAGGTACCTTTCTACCTGGTGTCCAGGCATCAGTGGCTAGGCTGAATGATTCATGTTTCTCTTGGCAATTTTGGTGCAGAGAAGCCAGGGTTGCCAAGAATATAGCCCACCAGGAGCCCCGTTTTTGGGTCACCAGCAAATCGTTGGGCTCAGGGACACTCACAACAATACAGAGCTCATTAAAGGACAATGCAAAGCTGTCTGATGAGGCCTTATGATCTGACATTGGCACAGGAATCTATTAATTGCACATTTGGGTCACCATCCATCTTGGCATTCTTGCTTTCTTTATAGAGGTTTAGGTGAATTGGAGCATGAAGGGGCCTGGGTGCACACACACTGTCATCATTCACACAGTTATCCTAGTGTCCCTAACATTCTCCACCCCCTTACGACTTACCTCCACTTGTGCTGCCATCCTGTGCACCGCTGTCCCTGTGGTGTTTCACCGCAGGTGGACCTTTCACCCCTGGTACCAAGAAGCAATAATCCACTTCCCCTTTGGGGGCATACATAACACATGGACATCAGAAGCAGTTGTCCAGACCTCCCATGGTTGATGATAGTCTTTATTTTCAAGTTAAAGCATTTTGGAGAGTTTTCTGCAGAAACTATAAAGAGCTAAAGAAATATGATAGCCAAGGGCTTGGAAGATGGCTCAGTGGTAGAGTGCTTGCCTTGCATGCCTGAGGCCCTGGGTTCGATTCCTCAGTATCACATAAGCAAAAAAAAAAAAAAAAACCAAAAAGCTGGAAGTGGCGCTGTGGCTCAAGTGGTAGAGTGCTCGCCTTGAGCTGAAGAGCTGAGGGACAGCGCCTAGGCCCAGAGTTCAGGCCCCACGACCAGACCCCCCCCAAAAAATAAATATAGCCAGGTGCTGATGGCTCATACCTGTAATCCTAGCTACTCAGGAGGCTGAGACGTGAGGATTGTAGTTCAGAGCCAGCCTAGGCAGAGGAGTCTGTGAGACGCTTACTCCCCAATTAACCACTAGAAAACTGGAAATGGAGCTGTGGCTTAAAGTGCTAGAATGTTAGCCTGAAGTCAGGCTCCGTGACCAACCAAATTTATATATATATATATATATATATACATATATATATATATATATTAGTTATTATTTTCCCCATGACTTTGTGACTTCCTTAGAAGCAGGAAGAGAACTGTCTTCATCTTTTCCTGCCTTTGTAGATAAACTGGGCTTATACATGTGGAACACAGCTGAAAAAGAATCAACAAGTACCCCTACCTTTAACTTCCTTTCTTTTGTTTTTCTTTTTATGGAAGTACTGGTTTTTGAACTCATTCTTGCTAGGCAGTTAGGTGTTCAACCATTTGAGCCACACATCTACCTCTTTTTTCTTTAGTTATTTTTAGCACAGCATCTTGCATTTTTTGCTGGGGCCAACCTCCTACCCACAACCTCCTGGGTAGCTAGGATCACAGATGTGTACCACCTGGCTGATTGGTTATGGAGGGTCATGAAATCTTTTTGCCTAGACTGGCCTCAACCTGCAATCTTCCCAATCTTCACCACTGGATTATAAGTAGGAACTAGGATTATAAGTAGGAACCTCCTTGTACAAACTAGTTTTTCTATGGCACCACCACCCCAGGTTTATCTACTTGCTTCTTACCCTACTCATATTTGCAGAGAATTTTGGAGGTTACTTTCTTAGGTATGCTTAGCTGAAAAACAGATCCTTTTTCCCCTGTGCTACTCATTCAACAAATACATAGTAACTGCCTCTCTTTTCCCAACACATCCTTCATCTCAAAAACAAACTGAAAGAAGCAAGAAGGATTGGGGAGGGGAGTAGTATGGCTTGGGTGATAAGCAGATGTTAATCAAGCATTAAGTCTTGAGTTTCTGATACTATCCCTCCTCCCCCTCAAAAACCCTGAAAAGACCAAAAAAAAAAAAAAAAAGGAAGAAAAAGAAAAGGAAAACAGAAAGAATCAAATGAGAATGGATTTTGTTCATACTGTTTTTGTTTTTTGCTTTCTTTTATCCTTCTCCACAGCTCCACTTGACAAAGAAGATTGTGCCTCAGTCACAGACCTGCCCAATTCCTTTGATGGGCCAGTTACCATAAGTAAGTATCTCTTCCCAACTTGTTTGACTTTTTTCCATTGTTGGGGTGGGCATCTGGTGTGTTCTCCCAGCTCTAAGTCTGAATAGTAGGTTAGTCATTTCCCTGGGGCTAGGGAAGGTTAGTTGTGACTCAGGGTTCCTTTCCCTTTTACTCCATTGGCTCCTTACCTCTCTGGCTCACAGGAAGCACAGTTGCTCAAACTTCAGTCATTTGGAAACCACTTTCACATTCTTATCTGTGTACTCCATATCTGTGTATTCCACTGTATTACATTCACTTGATAGTTTGCATATAATTGGCCCATTCTCTTATATTTAAAATAAATACATATGTATATACATATACTTTTTAATTTCATTACAAAGGTGATATACAGTGGGGTTACAGTTACATAAGTAAGGTAATGAACACATTTCTTTTTGAATACTGTTACCCTTCCCTCATTTTCTCCCATTTCCCCTACACTGACTTTCTCCCCCTCCAAGTTGTAAAGTTCATTTCCAACGTAGTGTCTAGTGAGTTTCACAGTTGCATTGGTTCACCCTTTGTCCCCTCTTTTCTATAATTTCCCTTCCCTTCCCCAAATCAAGGAAACATATACAAGGCAAATGGTATAGAAAAAAAACAGTGACCACAGAGATTAAAACTAAAAGGGGGCAGGAGAGAAAGAAAGAAAGAAATAACTGAAAACAGTACAGTAGAAAAACCTCTCCCATTTCTTGGAGTTCATTTTGAAAAACATCATTTTATATGATCAGAAAGAATGACATTTCCCCATTTATAAAGAAATGGAAAGACTTGGAAAAAATTATATTAAGTGAAGTAGCCAGACCCAAAGAAACATAGGCTATATGGCATTCCTCATTTCTAATAACTAGAATATGTATAGAATAATCTAAGCAGAGGATTAAAATACATATATATTTTTTCAAGGAACCACAAATGAAAAGCAATATCTTACATGGTAGATAAAAGCCAATCTTAAAAATCAACTGAAGTGCAAGAAAAAGTAAATGGTATTTTTAACTTCATTTTACTTAAGGCTGTGACCCTGAGCCATGTTCTGTTAGAGAAGGGGATTAAGTGCTGGAAATGGGAAGCATTTTGCTTCAATCGATAAACTACTATTTGATAATAATTGAATTACTGATAGTTGTGAAAGGTATGAAATTCCTGATAGGTGTTTTAGCATTATTTATACCATGCCTAGACTAAATCATCTTAATTATCCTCAGAAGTATGTATACAGTAGTTGAGAAAACAGAAAATCTGAACCAGAACTTTAAGATAAGTCAGCCTATTTACACAAATAATCTACTTTTTATAATTTGCCTGGTATCAGAAATTTTGTTACAATAATATAAAATAGACTAAGTCAATCATATTTTTCTTTGAACCGATATTCAATGTTCACCAGTAGGGATGAATCCATTTCCGTTTTCATCTGTAGTGATTAAATTTATGATTTATTCATAGTTCCATTTTAGTTTGATATTTCAAATCTTTTATGGAAATGGAAGGAATTAATAGCAATAAAGTTTATATATATTTGAGAAGGTAAACAAGGAAGCCAGTAGAGAATCATTATTTATTGAGCATTTACTTATATTGAACACTGCTGAACATATTAGTTATGATGTGCCACATAAGGCTCACCACAACCTTAAGCAAAGAGAGTTTCTTCACCTCATAAATGGTGGAAACAAGCCCACAAATTTTTCTTGTTGAGAGCTACGTGAAGCTTGCATTCAAAGTCAGGGATTCTCCCTGTTTCTGAGATTAAGAATCATATACCAACCACTGTATCTCACCTCTAGATAGGTAGATGTTCATTACTTTCAAAGCCAAATCTCACATAACAATCCATAGAGTCCTATTCTGGAAAAAACTGTCAGCTGTGAAGTTCTGAAAGTGCTTTCTCTCTCCCCAAGCTATTGTCAACCGTGATGGCACTCGATACAGCAAGAAAGGGGAGTACAGGACGAATCCAGAAGACATCAACCCTACCAACCCTATCGATGAAGAAATAAGCAGTGGATCTCCCAGCGAGAAGGGGACTCCGGAAAGCTACATCTTCTCCACCAACCTTCCTGTTACTCACCCAAGCCCAGACCAAGACAGCACCTCCATCTACAAGAGCACCCCAGCTACCAGTAAGGGGAACAAGTTTTGTGTGTTTTCTAGTATCGTTCTGGGCATGGTATCTGTGTCCTTCCTATGTGACATATTCTCCAGTGTTGGTTTTCTCCTATCTATAGATACCTACACATAGGTGACGTTATTTGGGAAGATGACGCTTATTCATGATCTCTGCTCTCTGTGCATTGACTATGTGCATTACTATGTTCCATTTGTGGTTTTCATCTACAAGTCTTTCTCTTGCCTTAGGATTAGAAGTACCACATTAGGAGCAATATTTTTTTGTTATTGTTGTTTGTTTTTTAAAGAAGAACTCTATTCTCTAGTTCCTAAGGATATGGTGATGATTATAGCTTGACACAGAAGTAATTTTTATTTTTGCTTGTCTCTTTCTGGTTTTTATCTGTCATTGGTAAGATTGTTTTCATAATATTGGGATTATAGAGTATATCTTGCATGCCACAGGTTCCTTTTCCCACCAAGCTTTGTATTTTTTGTTTTATGGTCTGAATACTCAGGTTATTGGTTGTATGTATTATTTAGTCATGTTCATTAACCAAGTTTAACCAAACAGTTTGTTTGATTTTGGTCCACGAAAACGTATCTGGAGGATTCTTCTGGACTGATTAAATCAGTCCAGAGGTCTATACTTGTAGTCTGTCGGGGAAGGTCATTAACACTCACTTGGTGTATGGAACTAATGCATTACTTCAGAGACTGGTGAAATGTAAACACTTCATTGGGTTGCTTTGGGTTTGAGTCTCTAGACTCTATTTGAACAGTGCTGAATCTTTCTCTTATACCTCCTTCACTTGTCTGATTGCATTTCCTCTAGGGTTTGTTTTAAAACAGGTTTCCAGATCAGCTGTTCTGTAGAGGATTATTCATACCCTAAAAAGGCACCAATATCTGAGTGGATTTCCTAGGACGGTGTGGATTTTCTCTTCTTCTGGCTGCAGCTCCTGGGGAGTAGAACTCTGGTTTCTAGACTAAAATCTACTGGTGTGTGAATATTCACAGAGGGACACTTTTTTAATCCCTTGTCACCCAGAAGCTAGGGAAATCTCCATAGCACATCTCATTTCATTTAAGGTTGTGTGCTCCACAGTATTTAAAATTCCTGCTAGCAGTTTGCTCTGACCTGGAGTTCTGATCATTCCTGGTTAATAAAACCACACCTGGTTAAAGTGCTCATGCTTTCCCAGGTTACTGGCCCTCTGGAGATTGCATTGCCTTGTTTGTAAGTCTTGTGGGCAGCATTTCTCTTGGGAGGCTATTGGACAACAAGTTGGGCAGTGCTGCTGGCTCCTGACTACTTTGTAGGTTCCTCGCTCTTTTAACACAATCATAGTGCTGATCATTAGGATGAGTAATTTTGTCAGATGTTGGCAAACACAATAATTACTGGTCTCAGCAGGAAGCAGACAGGTCTGACTTAAAATCCTATTTCCCACCATAGACGAAAATCTTGACAAAAGTACATCTTATGAGAACTGGATGAAGTTAAACTCTCCCCACTGCTCCCCATCTCGTAGTGTATATAAAGCAGAGTGTTTTAGGAATTAGCACATTTCGTTAGCATCCTTAAAACATCTTCAAGAACTTTACCTCCCTGTCTAAGTCAGTCAGTCAGCAAATATATTTTAAAGATCTACTATGTGCCAGATCTATTTTGATGCTTAGGATTCTAATAGTAAGCAATTTGGGGGGGGGGGTGTATTCTGGTCCTGGAGCTTGAACTTAGGGCCTGGGTGCTGTCCCTGAGCTGCTTTTGCTCAAAACTAGCACTATACCACTTTTGCCACAGCACTACTTCCAGCTTTTTCTGAGTAGTGGGTTGGAGATAAGAGTCTCACAGACTTTGCTGCCTGTGCTGGCTTCAAACCACAATCCTCAGATCTCAGCTTCCTGAGTAACTAGGATTACAGGCATAAAGCCACTAACACCTGCTAAATAGTAAGCACTTTTAAAAGAATTTTGAAGAGAAGTAAGGATGAGTGAAATTTGCATTTACTTAATCTATATTTGAATGAATTACAATTTCCCTTTTACAGAGCACTTAACTAAGTTACTTTTAGTAGTTAAGGAGGACAAAGACTAAGTTGCCCTATTTAGTCCAGGACTAAATAGGGAGAGGGGGAAGTTAATAAAGTGCAATAAGATTCAATAAGTTAGCATGAAGTAAATTTATTCATGCACAGAATGTAAAAACAAACCCAAACAAACAAAATAATCAGAGGGCAACTTAAACATAGCATATGACATAATAGAATTGATAGTTTTCTGAGTAGAATCTTTTGTGTCCGGTGAGGAAGATTCCCTAGGCCTTATCACAATCAGTGAGAGTTGGAATATAGTGCAGGGGAGTGATTTCAAGTCCTCCCTAACACTTGTGGTAGGGCAGAGGTCAAGAGGAGGGCTGGCTAACTGTATGGACACAGTCCATCTTTGGCTGTACTGGCTCATTCCTTCCTTCAGGGTCCTTAGTGGGTGGTAACAGGGAAAGCTAGTGGGAGCAGCCATCTGTGTAGGTTTGGAATTCCCTCTAGCTGTTTATTATAAATGTTATTTTTGTAAGAACCCTGCTGGAACGGTGTCGTCAGCTCCTTCCTATTGGTGATCTGGAAATCTCTGGAATCAAGAAGTCTAAACTAATTCAGGAAGCAGACTCCTGCCTTGGAACTCTCTATTTCCTTGTCTTCTGGGTGTCAAATGATTTTTTTTTTTTTTCCTCCTGGCGTGGCCTACTTGGGTGGGGCAAATCGGAAACTCTGCTGGCTAGACTGTAGCTTTTTGCTTTTTTTTTTTCTTTCTTTCATACTACTCCTTTTAGGAAAACAGCAATAACGTCTTTTGCTCTTGGATGTTTCTTTTCTGTTGCGTTATTTTACCCTAGTGTTCTGAAGGGAGAGAGTGTTAAGAGCTATAGATCTTCAATAAAGTTTTTGAGATAAAAGTATAAGGTGCCTGTGGCCTTTCAAGGGGATGCTCAAGTTTAATGTGGCATCAGGTGTGAAATTGGTTCTTATTTTTCTGCTCTCTGTTCTGAACTAATGGGGTTCTTTATAACATAGACCATTTGGATTTTGGTATGTGTAATGTTAAAGGTTTCTACCTGGAGCTTATGGACTTTCAGTAGGCTTTATTAGATAATTCAAGAACCACCTGAAATAATGTGCAAAGTATTAAGAGTGTTTCTATGTAGGATAGCTCTTGAGGAGAGAGACCATAACTTAGATGAGATTTTCAAAGGGGTGCATGGCTTAAAATGTTTTTGTTTACATCAGTCTCAGCTGGTTTAGATATTTATGCGGATCTCTCTCTGTTTTTTATTTTTGCCATTCTGTTTCTGTAGGGAAACAGTGAAGATTCAAGTCCAACTTGAAAGTCAAATGAGAGTTTTACATGACAAAATGACATTATATAATACCTGTTCTCTAACTTGAATAGATTCAATATTTATTTTAACCTTGGCAATTTTGTTTCTTTTCTGGAAACTTATACTGAACTATAATCAAAAGTGACAGAAAGTTATAGATGAATACTTCAGTAAAATGAATCTTCTACACTTTCAACACACCCTTTGCAAAGTTCTTAGTCATATTTAATGTTTGCTTGGGTTTGATGGGTATGGGTGGAACTTTAAAATTCCAACTTTTCCAAGTAAACTGGATAGAATGCTAGACATGGCCAGAAAATACATAAAATCATATCCCCAATGACCCTCCAAGATAGCTGAATGAAAACAAGTTTATTTTAGGTGGTGTAGCAGAACTTCAGCTCATGGCTTAATTAAAATCCCCCGTCAAGAAAGTAGTGTATCTCTTCCATCACAGAATTAATTTGTGCTTGATTTTTCTTTGGTCATGGTTTCAGGGAATTCAATTTGAAAACTGAGATATATTGAATCGATACCATTGGTGCTAGGAGATTGGGAACTAGGCCTCCATTTCTCTGTTCTGATCTTCATTCTGTAATAAATGCAGATAATATACTTGACCTAGTGGAGAGGAAAGTTTTCATAGAGAGATTCTCACTAAATGATATTTTCATAATTGATCCAGTTACCTCCACTGTGCACTCAAACAAGCATGCAGCAGCTCAGAAACAAAGTAATTGGATGTGGTTTTGGTTTGATAATTCACAACCTAAGACTCAAGCGCTCACAACTACAGCAACCACAGGTAAACTATATGTCTTTTGCTTTTTATTTGTCTTGAATCACAGGCCTTTCAGTGTTAAGAAAGTTACCTGTTACTATGACAACATTTCCCACAGATGCTCTTCAGCATCCTTAGTGAGAATAGGGTCTGGTACCATTTTATCACAGAGGCCTAGGGATCTAGGGACACAACCAGATTCTCCTAAATACCCTATTTTCCTGTTAGAAGTTACATATATGAATTATATTTCTTTCTTTTTGTGTTTTTTTTTTTTTTTCAGTTCCTGGGGCTTGAACTCAGGGGCTGGCTCTGTCTCTGAGCCTTTTTGTGCTCAAGTTTAGCACTCTACCACACGAGCCAAGGGCCACTTCCAGCTTTACTAGAGATAAGAGTAGTTTACTAGAGATAAGAGTCTCCTGGACTTTTCCTGCTTGGGCTGGCTTCAAATTATGATCCTCTGATCTTAGCTTCCTGAGTAGCTAGGATGACAGGTGTGAGCCACCAGCACCCAGCTCTTTTAGAGCCTTTGATTAGGAGATGCACTTAATAGATAGCATCAAGAAAGATGTCTATCAAAAGAGGCACACTCCTGCTTTTTGCTAACTGAATGATCATAGTTGGTAATATGATTTATGCTTGAAAAGTATAAACTCAGGACATTTGTTTAATGACTTCAAACCTTTACATAAGATATAGGAATTGTCTTGATACTCTAAGTAAAGTAGATGTTTGGCTGGTATCTCCCAATTCTTGTTAGATATTTTGAGAATTTAAGTAGATGAGAAGATAGGAGTCTATACTAATGGGAAGCTGTAAGGATATCTCCATTTGTTACCTTTTGTTGGCAGACAACATGGCCATATTTCAAAATAACTAGGCATTCTTTCCTAAGAAGAGAAGTAATAAAGATGGAAAATGTCCCTTTATGTTTGCTCATTGTACAAGATATTGAATAAATGGTATCTTTTCTTTTTTATAAGTAATCATGCAAGAAACATGTAGTTATCTTGTTAAGTTACCATATCACAGTGATTAAGATCATAAGGAGGGTAGAAAGTGAGGAGAGATTATAAATTTAAAAAGTGTTATTTTTTTACTGTTCACAATATTTATCTTCATAAGAGAAACCATGTGAAAGGAAAGGTCTTTGGGGCTATTCTTGAATCATTTCTGGGATTTCTTGGTAACTCAAAATAGAAATGTCACTCACTTTCTTTGCTTAAACTTGTCCTCCCATGGTGGTCTAGTACAATATTCTTCTGGTGAACATGATGGTAACAGAAATGGTAGTCTTCAGAAGTTTTCAAATCAGGACTCTTACTTCTGGTCTTAATTAGTAGAATCATTGGGGTCACTTTATCTCTATCTGTCTTCCCTGGTTTATAGTTGATATGCAAAATGATTATGGGTAAGGTTGCTAGAGGATTTGGAATCTAACTGGAGAAAAATAGGAAGGTATCTTCAATCTTCTACTTCCTGTGGCTTTCTTCTCACAGTTTGGGATTGTGCATGTGACTTCCGGCAGAAATATCATACGCTGAATTCTCAGAGGATGATATTGGTTGGCCAATATGGATTGTGTAGATAATCAAAGGGCTAGACCTCTAAGAAAAAGCTAGGCTTTAAAATCATAAATGCTCAGAACTAGAAAGGATCTTAAATGAAGAGCTTAATCAGTCCTTTTATTAATATCCTTCATTGTTGGATAGTTCAGATTATTTTTTTTAAGAATCAAATATTTAGAAAAGTATCCATATATATGAAATTCTTACTATAGGTCTTAATTTGTTCTCCTAGGAAAAGACACAAAAACATCATCACTGTTTTACATTATAGATGCAAAATAAAAAACAGTGCTCATAATTTCTTTGATAACTTTCTGTTTCCTTCGGACTTCACACAAGTCAGAAGCTCAGTCTAGCACATCTTTTCTGTCTTTAAGATTAAAGAATGTGCCAGATGATATTTAAGGTCCTTCTATCTCTGACATCGTATGAACTCAAGCTTGAGCTTCTGAAAGAAGAGGCATGTCTTTGCTTTCTCTCTTTCTTTTCACCATCTACATTGAATATGGACGAATCTCTTGAAAAGTGAAGGAGTAAAAGCATTTCTAGTGCTATTTCTTAGGAACTGATAATTAACCTTTCAACCCTCAATTCAATCATGGTTACAACAGCCTTGGTGAGCACTAGAGGTGCAACTCCTGACAGAACAACTGAGAGGCAAGAAGCCCATCACTGGCTTTCATGGTTGTTTCAACCATCAGAGTCCAAGAATCATCTTCCTGCAGCAACAAAAATGCCTGGTAATGAGTTATGGTTATCTTATATATTTCTTGCCAGTCTTCAATTAAATTCTTGTTAGCCTATAGGATGTTGTTAACATTGAAAGTCCATTCTGGTCTCAGATGTCTGTGACGATTTGGAATAATTCTGCTGTAAGAGCTGTGTATTTCATTATATGGCACTAACATGAAGTTTTATATTTCTACTCCATGGGATCATAGGATGCCCCAGAGGGTTAATTTGAAAACTGGGAAATGGGGGCAGGTCTTTCTTGAGACAGAGAAAACTTTCAACTCTGAAAGAGCATTCCTACATATTTTAAAATGACCAAAGTCTCAAAAAAAAAAAGCTTTTGACTTTAATAAGAAAATAAAATAGCATAGCTATAGCTAATAAAATAAAAAAATTCCATTACTGAAATTATTCCTAGGTGAATATTAACAGTATGGAAAACAAATAGTCATTCTATAAAGTAGCTTGAATCACATTCAAAAGTTAAAAATCTCTTTTTAGTAAAGACACATTTTCTGCAGTAACCGCTAAGAAGAGATAGAAGATTTCCACCGCTTGCTTTTATGATTATACCAAAAAAAGGAACAAGAAGTCTTGAAAATCTAAACGGTAGTCTACTTTTATCAGCTGTTTTGGTTGTCTAATAATGCCTGGAATGATTAACAGCATTGCATTTGCACTAGAGCTATAGTAATCTGATGCTAAAGAAGATTTTAAAGGGATTAACAAATTGGTATAAATGCTGATATCAACTCTAATTTAGGTTAGACCTCAAGGATTCTCTGAAGGATTTTGACAAAGAAAATATGGATGTATTAAACATTCCTATTCTCTTCTTGATATCCTAGCTTTAATAGAATATGCTTAATAAGCTACTAAAAAATGTATTTGAAAGTATGGGAGAATTTGAATTGGCTATTTTTGTTTTGTTTTGCTTTTATTTCTTTGGTAGGCTATGCCCATATTTACTTTTTAGCATCCTTATAGAGCATGCTCAGTTGTAAAGATTATAGCCAATTGTTTTGAGATTTCTATATTAGCTTCAGAGACAAAGACCTAAGAACTTAAGGTATACAAGTGAATTCTCTCACTCTCTTCTTAAGCTCTTGGGAAATCCGTGACATCTCTTGTACCTGACGTTTTCCTTTATCCGATGGGTTGCTTGGCTTCTAGCTCAACTACTAATGCAAGTCACCACAACAGGTACGGAGTCAAATACCATGTCAGCAGGCTGGGAGCCAAATGAAGAAAATGAAGATGAAAGAGACAAACACATCAGTTTTTCTGGATCAGGCATTGATGATGATGAAGATTTTATCACCAGCACCAGTAAGAATAATGAATTACAGTCAAACCATTTATACACTTAGAGTTATCCAATCTAAGTGACACCTAAAAGTAGCTCTCATGAGAAATAACTAATGAGAAAAATGAGCGGCCTTCAGGCCTTCAGTCTCTCTCTTAGTTTATACCTGGATGATATGGTGAAGGAAGAAATAAAAAAATTGTTTGAATGAAAGTCAAAACATATTTGGAAGAGATATGGGGGAAATATCTCTCAAATTTTTACGTGATGTATGTTCTTCCTTTTTCCTTATCAATTGGCATTTCCAGCTGGAAAGCCTCTTTGAATTATCAAGTGTTGTCAGGGAATGGAATAGTAAAATACTACAATGAATATTCATTATGCACCTGCTGAGCCAGATGGAAAAGGCCAGAGTTTTGCCTTCATAAAGCTCATATGAGCTGTTGGAGGAAGAGACTTGAAGAACATGATTTGGAAGGTATTAATGAAAAGGTGTAGGTCATCCTGCATTGAAAGCTTTTTTTTAAAGGCTCTGGAGTAGCTTAAATCATTGAAGCCAGAATGCAAGAATTGCTTTAGTTCATCAAAAGCTCGTTGAGATCCAAACCCAGAGTTTTAACACACCTGCAGTAACCAATTTAAGAAGAAGACATTGACAAGTACAGTGAAGGTCACCTCAGCATTGAGGCAGTACTAATTACTAAATCAGAGGGAGCTGGGCATGCCTGTAATCCTAGCTACTCAGGAAGCTGAGAACTGAGGATCACAATTCAAAGCCAGCCCAGGCAGGAAAGTCTGTGGGACCCTTATCTCCAATAAATTAGTTAGAAAAAGCTGGAAGTGGTGCCATGTCTCAAGTGGTAAAGTGCTTGCCTTGATTACAAAGAGGCTTGGGGACAAGTCCAAGCCCAGAGTTCAAGCCCCAGGACTAGCAAAAAAAAAAAAAAGCAGAGTAAAACCACTATAGTACGCAAATTTGAGGCAACTATAAAACTTTTTGAGAATTGTGGGGTGGAAGTTGGGCTGAAAAATATCCCTTAAAAAAACATATAAACTGGTCTAATATTCCTTCAGCTAATAGTTCCCTACACATAATCATAAGAAAGCCAGATGTTTGTGGCTCATGCTTGTAATCCTAGCTTCTCAAAAGCCTGAGCCCCGAAAAAGTGTTGTTGAAAGCCACCTGGGCACAAAAGTATATGCGACACCCTCTCTAATCAGTCAGCAAGGAGGCATGGCTCTGGAAGCATGGCTCAAGTGGTAGAACGCCATTCATAAGCAAGAAAGCCAGTACAAAACCCAAACAAACACACAAAATACCCCTATAATGACCCAAGATTTTGCTATATAGTGAATCACTGCTTGAGGAAAGGCACTTGAGGTGCTATATGAGTCACTTCAGGTTAAGATATTCTGTCACATTGAAGCCTGAGAATTCCATCCCCAGATGAACAGCACCCAGAGAGAAAGATACCTAAAAGATATCAAATGCCTTAGACATTCAAGACATCTGAATATATACAACAAATATTCAAGATGAATCTGATGTTTATATACAAATTTTAAGCTGTTCTTGGACCCCTCTTTAGAGCTTAGTTTACACTCTTTTTTTAGTAACTTCAGAAAGAAAATTAAATAACCAAGCCACTAGAACTTTACTACTGCACTGTCTCCTTCCTGGATTCAGGATGTGATCTGATCTAGCACTGTAGTTTGACCTATCAGTAAAGATGTATTCTTGACACTTGAGAAATTAAATTCTCTTAAATACCAACTCTAAAAGACCAACCTGCAAATGAGTTGTGTGGTCAGGCTCCAAGGCCAAAACTTCCCATGAATTTTTCATTTCTATATTTTCCAGTTTCAATTCATTTTTCTGTTTAGTGTCAATGTCTATAATCATTAACAAGATGACCTCTTTCTTTTGGCAGGGTGGATTAGCTATTGTGTATTTACACTTATTAAGAACGTGGTTAATGATTGTAAATTTGAATTCTAAAACCATTCTACAGTGGTTTTCTACTATTTGATTATGAAAATAAAGCTTGAACAAGGATAGATTTGCAAAGAACCTTTTCAATGAAAGATATTGGTTCTGATTTTTTGTCTTGATCTCTTGTTCTGGTCCTTACATTGTAGGAGTCAATATCAAAACACTGGTGGATGAATACTTTATTATTATTGTATTTATTCATTTGTTTGTTTATTTGGCTAACTAGTCTGATGGTGTTGGTTATTGCTGGCCTTTTTCTGTTGAGTGTATGCATCTTGGTTCTCCCCCCCTCATTGGCTATGAATGGCTTGCTCCTGATATATTGATATTTGTTGAGAATATCATATGTGTTTGGAATATACAGCTCAAAGTTCTTCTAGGTAGAGATTCTTTCTCAGAATTATCTACAGGAAAGCTCTGGCTGCTTAGAATTTTCTTGACTAAAATTATTAACAAAATTGTGATCGTCGTGATGTAACTTTCAGTTATCAATCTATTTGGCCTGAAGATCTGTCTACAGCTAGTGGTCCCAACAATGCCTTGGGTTCAAATACAGGGGACCCTAGTCTGCATGGATGGGCAAAGCTGTGAGTGTCTTCTGCTAGTACTGGTGGAGGGCTGGTGTTTTCTCAAAGCTGTTCTTCCTGCTGTCATGGTCTCTTTAGTGGCTTTCTCCAGAAGATCTCATGTTCTGAATTCAAGATATCCTGTGACAGAATGCAAAGGACAATGAGATGCTTAAAATGATGGGGAATCAAGCTGGAGGCACTCTCTCCTTTCCTTCCATTACCATGCAACCATCTATACACCTCGTATAGATGACTGGTGTAGACTTTGGAAAAGAGGAATGTGTGGAAAGTGTGATTGGAGGCTCAAGAAATAACATTTTCCTAATTACTTCAATCATCATTATCACAGTTTCAACCACTCCAAAACAGAGCCAGGATCCCACCCAATGGAGGCCAAGCCATTCAATTCCAGAAGTACTACTTCAGACAACCACAAGGATGACTGGTAATGGCTTATGCACATTTCATTGAAGGTCTTTCCCTCTCAAAGCCTATGATGTCTCTGAGGAAACAGAGATTTAGTTAATGTCTTATCATAAATTCTCAGTCAGATTTCCTGAGGATATTTGGTTCCATGTAGGAGTCATTTATTAATCATACTGTCTGGGCACAAGGTATTTTAATGGTGCTTTGTTATCAAAATGAATACATTTGAATGGCTTGTGGTACTGTGTCTGAAAGAGACAAGTAATCAGGATGAACTTTCATGCCTACTCATTTGCTCTTGGGGAAAGATTAGTGAAACCACCCAGGCCTATTGAGAGTTGGTTTTCAGAGGTAGGATTTAGACAGACAGTTGTTAGCATGTACTTTAATAGAAGAAAAGAATCATTTAAGGCTGGTTGATTAAAAAGTTACAGTATATTTAACATAATCAAAACAGATATAGACAGAACCAGCACCAGTGTTCAAGAAGAAAACCAGACCATGGAACTACAGCCTCCTCTCATTCACCATGAACATCAGGACGAAGAGGAGAACCCACATTCTGCAAGCACAAGTAAGAAGGATGATGGACAGCTGTTCTGGTTTACATGAGTTAGTGAAGACATTCCAGAAACTAGGCAAGACCTTGTTTAGACAATGGCCATATCTTCTGCCTCTATGGAGTAATTTATCTGCAAAGCCTGAAAAGGGACCAAATCTGTACATAGTTTATACTTGGAAGAGAAATGTCAACTTGTTAGGTTCCCCTAAAGGTCAAAACATTGACAAAGTAGATCTGCAGTCCAGTGGGTTTTTTTGTTTTTTGTTTTTGTGAAAGATTCCCAGAGATTCCATCTGGGTGAGTTATGTGTATTTACAGAAATGAATTGTGGAAAGTGATTTCATAGTAGTACAGAATAGTAGAGTCTGGAAAGAAAGCTTGACAAGTGGAAAGATCTTTGGAATCTTGGTTTTCTACCAAGCTTGGTGATAAATCCAGTTGTTCCTCCCTCACCCCACATTCTCTTCCTTGCTCTGTCAGGGGATGGCATCATCTGTACTTTTTGATGGAAAGTCAGTAGCTCATGGGGTCTCTTTGAATTCTACAACTTCCCTACTTCTATTTTCAAACTCAGAGTAACTTGAGGAAGGCTTCTGATGCACTTATTATTTCTACTATGTAAAACAGCCCAGGTTTTCTAAAACAACCTCATGTCTCACAAATAGGACTATGTAGATAGACAAGAAGAAAAATTGCTCTTCTTTCATTTCTCCTTCTGATAGATGGTTATCTTACTTGGAATAAAGTAAACTCTTATTTGAGAAAAAAAAGGCCAGTAATATTTATAAAGCTGTGGTACAACCATAGTGATTTAACTACTTTCACAGCCTTGAATATTTCTAAAGTAGAAAAAAAAACAAACAGATATTTAGTTGTCAAAGGAGTTTGAGAATCCCTGTTTTTCGGGATTTATTTAGACATCCAAAGAAAAATCTTGAGTATTGTACTGGACATATCCAACAAGCTACATAGCCCTTTTCTCAATCCAATAGGTTTTATGTATGCATAAGGATTAGGGGTTGAGTAATGCAGGAATGTTCTGGTAGAAAAAAGAATAGAGTCTAATAATATTTTATGGAATAGGATTCAGTGCCAGTCTTCTTTAGCTTCTAATAGTGTATCTTAAGAAGAAAGCTACTTAAAAACCATGGAATTAGCAAACCTATGACAAAAGGTAGTGATTCAGGGACATGAATTACTAGGGGATAGTTGAGAATCCATGTAATGGAACTTGACACACAAAACATTAACCATGCTTTCAAAAGTTCTGGCTGATGACCTATGAACTTCACTATTGCAATTTCTAGAAGAAATTTTGCTTTACAACAGAAGTCCTATATTGTGCTAGCCCATCACTGTCTTCACTGCCAACACCCAGGAGTTGTTGGGTACCCATAAAAGTAGTGATAGATGGAGCCTGGATCTATTGAGTGTTTGCATATGCACATGTGTGCTGGCTACCTTTTAAGTCAAACTTTGAGCTATATAAAAGCTTATGTTTGAAACAATTTTACCCCTTGTTTGTAATCACATTCAGGAATTTTCTTTTTTATTATATTTTTATTATCTTTAAGAAGGTGTACAAAGGAGTTAACATTCAACAAATAAGTTTATGAGTACGACCATCTTGACCGATGTCACTCCCTTCATCATTCTCCCTCATCCCTCCATATTCAGGGATGTTCTGACTTTATTACTGCCAGGAGATAGTGACTTAGTGTTAGCTAAAACTTCAGATTTTTAGCTTTACCCTTCTTCCCCCATCCTTTGAACTGCCAGTTAACTTCAGGAATTGTTTGGCCAATACAAAGGTAAAATGAGATCAGTAAGTGTCATATGCTGTTATCAAATCACCCACATCATTTTCTAAAATACAGCCAATTTCCCAAGTCACTAAATTAATTTGGATTGGCAAGTTTGTAGCCTCTTATCTTTCCCCTGATGAACCCAACATGTTCTATGCGTTGTTAGAGAGGAAAATGTCAGTGGCTTTCTGATGTTTCCCTACAGATGCCTGATGGAAGTTCATCCCATTCATTTTCATCTTTTTTAAACAGTGGCTGAAAGTTCAGGCCTGTCTTAAACTATTAATATTTATGTAACACCATACTGTTTAGAATAGTTTCTTTTCCACTGAATTATTCTTTAGAAGTGATCCTAGCAATTTTAGATGGTCCTAGACATCACCACATTCTGGGACAGTAGTATTGGGACATCCTTGTCATCCCAGCTTTCATGATGGGCAAATCCATTGCTGAGATGTTTCTGGTGAACATCATTGTAGTCTATGTGACCCATCCAGGAAGTCACCCAGCTATGTGGAGAGTGTCACAAGCTGCTATACAATATACTTCCTTTTCCAGGCCTACTGAAGCTGAGAGATTATATTTTGAGCAAACAGTTCTCTCCTGTGGGGTATGTGAGGTCATAGACTAATAAGATAAGGGTAATTCTGGGAATTCACGTAGTTTATTGCTAACTTTGTGCTTCTCTGGCTACATGATTTTGAGTAAATGAAACTTTTAGTTCCTGACTTTCCCATATAAAAGTTAAAGGACTGGAATATTCTATTTCAGCCTCCTTTTAGAATATCAATTAGCTTTTCTCCTTGTTATCTTCCATTTCTACCTCCTTTTTCCATGTGTCTAGGCCTTTGAAGTAGAAAGAGATATAATATATTTTTGTGTGTGAGAAATGGACAATTATGGCTCATGATTGACATTCTCCTCACAGCCGGGGCAAGTCCTAGTAGTCCCACTGAAGAAACAGCTACCCAGAAAGAACAGTGGTTTGTGAGCAGATGGCACAGGGAATATGCCCAAACACCAAGAGAAGACTCTCATGCAACAGCAGAGACAACTGGTAATGGATGTCTTAACAGGCAAACACAGGTGGAAACTTTCTTTTGAGTTAAATGTTGGGCATTGAGGACACTGAACAGAAGGACATTGGAGGAATTTTTATAAGATACTGGGTTTCTGAATAAATTGTGCTCCAGTGGACACAGAAGCAAACTTTAAATGCTCCTGACAAAGCATCTGACCAGGAATGGCTATAATCACATAAAAGAAACAGGGAACATGGCCTGTGAGTGAATCACTCTCACATCTAGTTGTGGAGCATCTCAGATCCAGTAAGATTGTAACAAGTCTCACTAGATCAGATCTTGTAAAAAAAAAAAAAAAAAAAAGTTCTCTTTGTTTTGTAAAAGCGTTTGCGATATAATGCAAGCCTACCTTTACAAACACAAGGTTTGTAAAAAAAGAATTCTGTCAGAACTCTAGTGCTTAAAAAATAGGTCTGGGCAGTATGCAAACAATGTTATTATTTGGAATTGTGTTTATATCGATTTGGTAAATTTTCCTTGAATATATAGTTATTTTTTCAGATTTGTAGACAAGTCTCCTCTTCTACTTTAGAGTTGTGAGACTGTAGATATTGGACCTAAATCTAGTCATCATCTCTAAGAGATAACAGTTGATAACTTGTCTTTGCAAGCTCCTATGCATGATCCTTTTGCCTTGTGATATAAAAAATGGGATACTCTTTGCTTTGTGGTGAACCTCAATTCTATATTTTTCTTGGTATCACTGGGACATATTTCCACGTTTCCATTTGCACTACAGATTTCAATGTATAGTGTCTTCCCAGTGCATGGCAACTTCTTGGTGAATTTCTAGTAGAACAAAGCATTTGGTGACTGGCTATGTGGTATGATTCTTGGTAGGGGAATACTATTGTAATATTTTCTTCCTACACTTCTCCAATGGCACAGAATGAAGCAAAGGCTCAAGCTACATTCTCATGTCATTATGCCCTAAAATAAATCTCCTTGGTGAAGGTAATGATTCTCATCTATTTCATTCATGCTTTTGTGATGGCATCTAATATCATGTTTATCATCTGGGAAGTTATTACTTGATTTCTTCTGTAAATCACTAATTGCCTACTGCGTATTTTGCTGGGATGTGGTTGTATCAGAGTGATATCATGTATTTGGGCTCTTGTACTTCTTTAGGGGATTGTGGCAGCAGGGTCAAGAATTACTTCTTCATCTGTCCTTCAGGTTCATCTCTGTCCACTGCAGCATTTACTATTGCTTTGCATCCTCTAATTCCCATGCTGATTGCCAAGAAAACGAGCATAAATGAACCCCAAACTGCTAAAATACGTGTCATTTTATGCAAGTTCTTTGCCCTCAATACCAGGAAGTTAGTATCATTATCTTGTGCACAGAATAATTTTTAAAATATCAGTGTATCTATGCCTGGATAAATGTCAATTAACACTTTGATAATTGCTTGAACTGCGCTATTACAACAGCCTCAGCCCACAACAGCCATCCAAGCGAAAGAATGACCACACAGAGTCAAGAGGACAGTTTCCAGACTGACTTCTACAACTCAGTCTCAGATTCCATGGGACCTGGTCACCAAACAGAAGGAAGGATGGGTAATAGCCTCTGAAGTTTATCTATTTATTTCTTAATGCCATGGTTTCAGAATCAACTAAGTGACTATTTTTCTTAGAAATATGCCCATAGTTTTAGGCCAATTTATTTTTTTAAGGAACATAGAGTTCCTTCAAAACTTCACTTTCTTGAAAGGGGTAGAAAAATCTTGCCATTTAGAAGTAATATGTTACAGTGATTTAGAATTTAGGCCATTCCGTCCTTTAATGAATGTTTGTGAATTTAATAGAGGACAACTTTTACATGAGGTGGAACTATTATTTAGGTTTTTTTAAAAATAGCCTTTGTTCTTATTTACTTATAAGCAATCAAGACAGTGAAGGAGAGAGAAAAACTTTACCTATAGTTAGCCAAGAATGGAAAATAGGACCCACTGAATTTATTTGCATACCTTTTATATTTAAGAGGAATTCTTCCTTTATTATATCAGGTAATAATTTACCTGAGAGAAACTTTAAGAACTAGTAGAGTTGGTGTCTGCATTAATAAGTTTAAAAATCCAGGCTTCTTACTTTACTTATGAGCAGATTTTCTTCATCTTTTTTAACAAGATGTTCGGATCCTAGAAATGTAACAATTTGAAAAAGGAAAATAAATAAAAATAGCCAATATAGATCTGAGTTTTCAGTTATATTGAATATATTATTTAGATTTAAATTGCCAAGCATATATATAACACAAATTTTAGTAAATGAGTCCAAAGAACACAATGACTTTGCCTCTTAGTGTTGAATAACTACAAAATTATACCCCAGAGGAATCCAACATTTTCTATACTGTCATTTATTTAGAATTCTCCATTTTACACAAATATTAGTGCCCAGATAACTCTTAAATTCTGCTACTATGCAAGGAATTTTGGAAACAACAAGGCTGTATAATTCATAGTCTGTGTTCTTAGAAAACTTAAAAGGTAGAAGAAAACATTCAACATGGAAGTAAACCTAACAATGTGAGTCAGTAGTTATTGTGAAAGTAATGTTGCCAATAATTTAGTGTTGATAACCCTAAAGAAATTTACTGCACCCTGCATCTTTCAGAGACCACTAGAGAAAGATGATGGGAACTAATTTTTGGAAAGTAGGAAAGATCTACATAGTCAAAGGAAGGAAATGGGAGGAAGGTTCTCTACAAAAGTCTGTAAGGAAGACCTCAAGGGAAGAAAAGTTAAGTCATGAATATGTCAGAGTGAATATATCCAATTATCATAAAGGAAAATGAGTTTGAACGACTGGGTTACTCAAGTGGTACATGCAGACACAATACATATTTTTATGCATATAGCTTCTAAAGCCATGATGATGTCCATGGTAGAAAACCAAGACAGTTAAAATCAAAACAAAAAAACACAAAACAACCCTCAGAATCAACATTAAGTTTGTATATTGAGGAAGAGATGGATGATACAATTGGGTTCAACTATAGAATGACACAATAGTTTTCAAAGGTCTCCTGTCAAAGAAAGATGAAATGTAAGACATTTCCTGGTGGAACACTTATCTGGAGTTGTGTTCTGAGTTAGCTGGCCTTTCTTCTTGGATAGAGTCAGCCACACATTGTTGTCCTAAAGAAATCTTGGTTCTCTTTGATTATACAAAGGCTGCAGTGAAGATTTGGGTGCCCAACGTCCCAGTGCTTTATGTTGGGGTCATTTGAGGCTGAGAAAGTCGCCCCAGAGGCATTAAGGAAGTGGGTGGGTTGACTAAAGCATGGAGCCAAAAATATTGATGGTACTTATGAACTGTTTGGCCTTTATTTCACTTAAGACTTGTTATTTCAGCAGAATAGATCTGCGATAACTATTAAAAACAGCATTTCTAAATACTTCATTGAGATTTCCTCACCAGTCAACACCCCACATGTTAAATTCCAGAGATACACATCATCCTTGTATTTATGAGAAGCATAAGTCAGTAGCAGCTACTGCTTCTTATTTCTTGCCCCTAGGCACTTCCTGTGGCCACCAGCTAGGTAGAATTGGATTGGTGGCTTTGTGTTTTTATTTACATGTCATTTGGGAAGAAAAAAGGACTAAATGAAGGAAAAGGGTTATTAAAAATGTCATTTTTTTTCTTAGTGAGCAAGAGGTGGAAAGAGGTGCACTCTTATTTTCCATGTGTCAGATTGTAGCTAGAAGAAAGTCCCTATGTATGGAAGGGGACAAGTCACAGATAGACTGTGTTTCTGTCTCTCTGTAAGGTTTGGGACTCCTGTTGTGTGCTTGTGTGGCATCCACCTAGACTTAGCAGAAGCAAACAAAAACCAGCCCTTTAAATGAAAGTTAGTTACCTACTCCAACTAGCTTGAAAAAATAATCGATCCCAGTCTAAAGATATACTTTAGTATCTGCTCTTTTTCCCACCCATGCCAAGTTTGAACATAAAAATAACTTGACTCTAGAATCTCACTGACCCCCAGGTAATGGCTCAGGAAATGAAGCAATAACGCTAATTTAATTCCTTCAGATATGGTTTCCAGTCATAATGCAACACTTCAGCCTACTGCAGATCCAAATCCAGATTTGGTGAAAGACTTGGACAGGACAGGACCTGTTTCCATGACAACTCGTAAGGATAATGACACCGCTCCTTTGTTGACCTGTACCCCTGCTTCAGGTCTTGCTCACATTGGCTGATGTTTTTTGGTGATGGGATGCTGCATTCTTTTACTGGGTGACTTAGCTCTGTCCAGAGTGTAAAGCTGTCTTCATTGTCCATACTTCTTTTGGGGTTCTTTAAATTGAACTTCACTTTTATTCTTGGTGTCATACATATTAAATGCATTTATGGGGGATTGAAAAAAGATGTAGAATTCCATTCGATTTTCCTTCTCTAAGCAGTCATGTCAATGTTACTGAAGACCACAGCAAAGTTAACCATTTTTCTGTTTAAACTGATCCTCTCTTTATTATACCTACTCTCCCTCCAGTCAAGTCACAAGAACAAATGCTTTTTTGGTTCTCAAAAGACTTTGGAGGAAGCAGATAATCATAGGCAGTAGTAAAGCCAAATTAGCCTACAGAGGAGGAGCAAAGCACATTGTGAACAACTAACACAAAGTAGTGAGGTCCTTGAACCAAAAAGTGAATCTTGATCAATGTCTCCTTCCATCACTAAACATCTGATAGAAAATGATGTGAAATCTCTAGTAGCCTTAATTTCCACCATATGTGCAAAGATATCCTAGTGATCAGGCTGAATTCATTTATAATTTCTTGGCAGAATATGAAAGAAATCCAGAATGAAGAGGGCCTAATTTCACTGCTACTACACATAATGGGCAGAGTCCTTTATAGAAACCCTTTAGGCAAAGGAAAAAGTCAGCAAGAATGTGTTGTGAGCAATGCAAACAGCACAGTGTTAAGCATCAAAGGAGAGGTAAATAACCCATGAATGGCTTCTGCCAGTGAAGGCCATGTATTTCCATTTTATGTTACTGGAAGCTTTTGTTCTGACTTTGGGGTAGGGATTTGATGAAGGTTTCTCTCCTGATTATGATACTTATGTGGTGGTGGATATGGTTTATGGGTGTGTTTTATGGAGTGCTTGCACCTGCAACTCAAAGGTCAGTATCATTCTTGGAAGAACACAAAAGAAATGAACTCAAAACAGTCAACATGATTTCAAATATGGGCAATGATTCAACCTCAAATTGATATATATCACTAAGGGCCTTGTATCTATCCAGGCAAGCATCTCCTTGGTGCAGCCATGAGAAGCTCTTATCGCAGATGAGATGGTTAAAACAAAAACAAAACAAAACAAAAAACAAAAAAACAACTAACGGTAGAATAAAATGATAAACTTAATAGTTTTTAGAAAACACTCATGTATTTCCTTGTAAAATTTTCATTTGAGTTGCTGGAGCAGGCAGTCTAGATGGCTTTCTTCCTCTTTTGTGGTGACAGGAGGACTACTATAATGTTAGTTTCCTTACAAGTACACTTCTTTCCCTGTGGTTAGGTGTTGTGTTGATAGGAAAACTAAAGACCAAACTTTCCTTTTCCATGTGTTTGTAGTCTCTGGTTTTACTGAGTTGTCTGGGAACGATGCTACAATGTGGTCATGGTGGTTCAGGGGTTCAGGGTGGACGAAGTTTGGCTCTGATTTCTCCTTGGCACTGGTTATGGTGACAGACAAAGGGGCCAATCAGGGGCAAACAGAATTCTTCTGTATATTTCTACCAAATCTCATTCTCCTATGCACTTCTCCATCTGACACACATCAGCCAGATCTTCCTTGTTAGCAGAGAACAGAGACTTATATCATGGCTCCAAATTAACATGGATTTATCCCTCATTGAAGCAGAGCAAAGTCATTCTCAGAGTTTCTCGACACCATCTGGAGATCTGCAAGATGAGAAAGATCACCCAACAGCTTCTACTCCGACACCTAGCAGTAAGGATTATAAAGCCTAGTTCATTTCAGCTATTATTAAAAATCAAGAGATTATGCATGCTTTCTGTGGAATCTTTGGTGCAGTAGATACTGCAGTATCTTTGGGCTGATATGTCAGCTGTCTGTTGTACTGCAACTTTTAATCAAGTGGTGTGTCTGGTGGTGGTCTCTGATTTTTCTCTGCTTTGTAGACTTCTTAGAAGCCATCCTACATTAATTGTAAACTCTATTTCTTAATCTTGAAGATCATATTTCTTAAGCTCTACAACTGGAAGCTTCATTTAAAAACAATGGAGTTTTTACATGTATCTGTAATTGCTGTAAACACTGGGTTGTATTTCTCTTGTTGTATTGCTTGCATTGACAATATTATTTTTCCATTTGTTCTCTGGACCGTAACTCTATGTACAGGTAACTAAGAAGCAGTGCTCTCTTGGCAAAGCAAAGAATAAGTTGATAGCTACAGGTCTTTGAAATCTTGCATTTGCTATTCTAATTTCAGGAAACGGAATTTATGCTTTTTAATCCAATGGTGTGTTTCCTCCATATCACCCAACGTTGGATGTATTGTGAAACCACTGGTGATTTTCTAGTATCTGAGTTGACTTCAAGGTCACAGTTGTAGTGACCTTGAAGATATCTCACCTTAGTGACACCAGCAGGCACTGCAAGAAATCTGTCTTCTGGATAGAAGGATCAACAAAATCTCTTGTGTTAAGTGCTGTCCAGGTGGTGTCTATTGCAAAATATTCCTTTTATTCAACACAGAGTGAGAAATTTTAGTTACTTTGTTCTTGGATAACATGTGGAGAGCTTTTGTGGCAAAGGCACATTCTGATGATAAACACACAGTAGATGGGTTTATCACTGATTCCACCTCCACACAGATAGAAACAATAGCAGAGGTGGAAGAAGAGGTGAAAATCTTCCTGAAGACTCAACTACTCCACTGGAAGGTTATACCACTCCTTATCCACACACAATGGAAAACAGGACCCTCAGCACAGTGACCCCTACTCAGACTGGGGCCTTGGAAGACACTGAAGTTACTGTTGTCGCAGAGCCCTTACCAGGTAATTTAACCATGGGCCATCTGGTTCACGTTGTTACATGGGATATTTTCTATATAGATTGTGATTAGATTACTCCATAGTACAGGAGGTTTTCATCACCATGCATCAATTCTAGTACTAGTAGACTTGGATTTATTTAAGATGAAACAATAACTTTCCATTGGTTACTGTACTTCTCACTTACTTTTGTGACTTGGTTGTTCTGGTAGAGTTTCTTTTGTCTTAATCCTTATTCTGTAATCTATTAAGTTGAAGTTCAACTATCTGAACTGATATTTTGTGGCTCAAAAGAGTTATTATATATTAGCATTTTCATTTGCTTCAACTAATAGATGCTGCTTATTTGGTACTTTTTTAATCCAACAAGTAAATAATCTTCATTGCCCTCGAATTAATCTTTTGCTGGTGGTGGATTGATCAATCTCACTTTTGGGGGTGGGCTGGTAACTAATTTCTGGTTATGAGGTAGTTAAAACTTCAGAATTTAATCTATTATTAATGATTAAGAACTATCTCTTTTATTTTAAGAGATGACTTGCTTAAGTTTATTCCGCTGGTGACTCACCTTCTTAGATAAGCAGTTGTCTCTGCTTGTTCTTTTCTTTGTTTTTCCATTTGTATTGAGAAACTAGCCCTGATAAAGGGGAGCTGGACAGAGCTCAGTCTTGCTGAGAAAGTAGAAACAATGCTCTCCTCCTGGTACTACTTATTCAAGTATTTATTACCACTCAACCACATATCAAATATTCATTTTTGAAAGTATACTTTTATAGCAGAGACCCTCCCTGACCAATCAATAAAGAAGTTCATATATGTGATGTACATATATATATATTTATATCTGTATATAACTGAGAACAGTTGTGAGTCTCATTAACACTGGAATGTCAGTACTGGCTTGTCTCTTTTGGGCTGCCCACCCTGGGCCTTCAATAACCAGTTTAGAAAAAGTACTGACCTCAACAGAACAGACAAGACAAAGCCCCCTTTCACTCCTTAGTGTTTGTTTTTTTTTTTTAACTTAGTATGGCTCTGCTCAACCCTATTAAAAACTCCAAGTATCACTGTTAGTTGGCTTATGAAAGAATGAATCTTAAGAGTGCTCTTGGCAAAATAAGGCCTGTTGTGCAACCTAATGGATTTCAGTTGGAAATGGCAATTTTAATAGTTGCTGTATCCTAGATGGCTTACAGTTCTCCATTATTAGCAAATAAAATGCTTACTACAGAATTAGTGTTCATGAATGCTTCTATAGAGATAGAAGCAAGGTGGTAGTAGGGATAGATTTTTTTTTTCTATGCTTCCATATGAATTTAGTGTTTAGGAAATGATCTTTTTCTCATCCTTGGTTTCTTCCAAACTCAGATGAGCATCTTTCTGCCTCTGTACTTTTCTCAATCTCTATATTCAATGTTAAAAACTAAATCATATAGAATCATGGGGGCAATGTTGGTGGTGGGTTTGGTAATTGGTGATGGTGCTTTGGGAACTCTCAATGGGGCATTCTAGCAACTGCTATTTTCTGTTTTAATCATCAGCTAAGCAACAAAAGCAATCTAGCTCTTTACTATAATTATGAGAGCAGTTACCAGTGATGTGTCTTCACCTGTCCTAATTAGGGAAATGATGATCAGGTGATGGTCACCTGACACTGTATTTTTTTAAATAGACGCTTTCACAGTAACTTTACAAAACCTCATTCTGGAGGACGGGGAATATTATTTGTTTGGTTTTTGTTTTTGTTTTTGTTTTTTTCAGTCCTGGGGCTCTGTCCCTGAGCTTGTTTGTTCCAGGCTAGCACTCTACCACTTGAGCCACAGCTCCACTTCCAACATTTTTTTTGGTCATTAATTGGAGATTTTCCTGCCCAGGCTGGCTTCAAATCATGATCCTACTATCTCAGCCTCCTGAATAGCTAGGATTACAGGCATGAGCCACTGACATCCAGCAGTGTATTTGTTTTTAAAGCTCCAGTATATTTTGAAAACTGGTTTGTGAGCAAGAGAGGAGGCCGGGGGTTTTCATATGCTGAATCCAGCATTTCACTTTTGGGTTTAGATTTTATCAATGAATGAGTTGGTTTCAACCCAGTGCATCCTGATGGTGAGTATTTGAGAAGATGGGATTATATTAACTTGTTGAAAATAAAGACTTAACTTTTGGAAAATATGCACTGGAATTTATTCTAAGACCAACATGCCTGTTATTCACATGCTAGCGTTTTACCAGACCTTTTTCACTTATTTTAGGCTTTTAAGCTTTTTATTTTTTGTTTGTTTGTTTTACTATTTGTTGTTGTTGGTGGTGGTGTTTGTTATTGGGCTTGAACTCTGGGCCTGGGTGCTGTCCCTCAGCTCTGCAGCTCAAGGCTAACGCTCTACCACTTGAGCCACAGCACCATTTCCAGTTTTCTGGTGGTTTATTAGAGATAAGAGTCTCACAGACTTTCTTGCCCCGGCTAGCTTTGAACCATGATCCTCAGATCTCAGCCTCCTGAGTAGCTAGGATTACAGGTGTGAGTGTCCGGTGGTCTCTACCTTATTTAAACACATATTCTTTTATTTCAGAACAATTTCCTGCCTCAGAGAAATCTCTATAAATATCTCACGTCCTAATCCAGAGTACATTTATTTCCAGTAATCACACATTTCATATTCTAATTCTTCTTAAATATTTTTTTTGGCAGTACTTGGATTTGAACTGAAGTCTTTGCATATACGAAGCAGGTGCTTTACCACATGAACCAGACCCAAGCACTTCTGCTGGTTTTTTTCTTTTAGTTATTTTTCAAGTAGAGTCTTATGTTTTTGCCTGGCCTGACTTGGCCTGGATTGTGTTTCTCCTAATTACATCTCCTCTAAGTACCTGGGATGATAGTTATATACTACCATACCCAGCTTTTCCTGTTGAGATGATGTCTCACTAATTTTCTTTTTGGCCTATGCTATCCCCAAACCACAATCTTCCTGATTTCTACTTTTTGTGTCTCTGAGATTATAAGTGTGAACCACCAAGGTTAGTTTATAATCCAATTCTTATGGTCTTTACTTAACTTTATTAATCTAGTTCTGACCTCAAGCCTGCAAAGATATTACAGTATTTTAGTAGCATATTCTTTGCCACAGAACTTGGATTTCTATGGCTTTTGCTGACCAGTTTCCTTCATTCTGATGAAAAGCTCTAGCCCATTCATTCATTGGTGGACTAAACAATGCATAGCAATTAAAATGGACTTATTCCAGTTTCTTTTTGCCATCATTTCTTGGTTACATTTATTTAACAGCAAATGCTTGGTGAGGGGCTTTATGAAGGAAATGGAGACAGCAGCGTGAGTAGAGACAACACAGAGTACTGACCTTCCTTCACCACTCATTACAGGAGATAAGGATGTCGTGGACTCTAGCGGGAGGTCCCACACCACACACGGATCTGAATCAGACGGTGAGTTTGGAACTGCTCTGTCCTTTACGGTTACAGTCGTTGAACCTGACGACTACTAATGAAGCATGAGTCAGTATCTCTAGAGAAGTAGTTGGTGCTTTCTTTGCCTGTATTACAATCCCAGGGAGGGTTTATTGAATCACGTTGCTGGGTCCCACCCCAGAAGGTTCTGATTTGGTAGGTCTAGGGTAGAGTCCAGAGATGTGACTTTCTAATAAATACCCTAGTAATGTTGGACCACTGGGACAGGGACTCCATTTTGTGAACTACTGCTCTGGAGAAAAAAATAGAAAAAAAAAATCTCCTCTCTAAAAGGATCAGGAAGAATTCAAGCAGGGCTTTCCATTTACTATTGCCCTACTCTAAACTGACTAAGAACAGGGGTTTTGAAATAAGAACCCTTGTGTTTTGATCTTACTTCCTTTACATGTAAACTGAACAAGATGTTAAATGAGGCTAAGATTTCTGAGCTAATAAACTTGGGATAATAATTGTCATACAGCATTGTTAAAGACTAGATGATAGACTATGTGCACAGTTCTTAACATAATCCCTGGGCCATGATACAATAGCTAAGAGAATTTGCCTCATGTCAGCAGCTTTAGTCAAAGCACTTTACGTGGATTAAGGTGGAGTGCATGAAACTGCTAGTTCTGTAGCATTGTCAGGTAATTCAGAGTTCATCCAATAAGAACTCATTGAATTATCCTACACGGCCTGTGATAGATTTAAGTAGTACTGTAGTCACCCCCAACATTACAGATGAGGAAACAAAGACTTGGAGAGGGCTCAAGACTCAAATGGGCTCCATACCAAACTGACATGAGCAGTGAGTGGTGGAGCCAGTTTCTCAATAAGAGAGACCTGTTGAGATCTCTCATTGATTGCTTCCCACAAGCATGGTCTAGAGAAAACATTCCATAATGATCATAAATATTGCCAGGATTACATTATTAAATAGACTTGCTGGCCTTGCTTGACTCAGCTCACACTCCTGGATATGTTTCTCCAAACTTTCTGAAAAAGTTTGACATGAAATACATTTGCTTCTGATCTCTCATGCTGTGGATAATGACCATAGTCTCCAGAGCATCACAAATCCAGTAACCCCATACCAACCAACCAATCATTCAAGCCATCTATTATCATCCTTCCCTACATGTACAAGTTTGGGCATATTTAAAATCTGAAGACAGATGTGACATAATAACCCTTTCTATGGGAACACTAAGATGTAGGGTTCAATAGAAATGCTCCTAAAATCCAAATGGAGGCTCAGGCTCACTGGAGTCCTGTGATAGGACACTTGGCCTTTCTTATCTTCAGTTTCCTTATTAGTTAAAAGTCCAGATTACCTGTCTGAGGTCCTTCCTAAAGCACTTGCAAGGAAAACAGCTATCAGGAATGTGATTTTGAAAACACTAGGGAGTTATTGCTAAAAAGATACAGTGTCTAAAACCAGGAGACCTCAGCTACTCTAAGCATGGGCTTTGGATCAGCAGCAGGGATATCACACAGGAACTTGTTGGAAATGCAGAATCATTGATGAACCCAGATATCCTGAGTGAGAAGCTGCATTCTAGCCAAGTCTCTCCTCCCCCACATGGTTTGTAGACAGATTAAGGCTTGAGAAGCTCTGTCCTCCATGGCTTTCCTCACACTGAAGCCCAATGAACTCCATGTACACATCTTAGGTTGGACCTCATCTCCCAATGACATTGCCTAGTCCCCCTCCCTGTCTGCAAAATTTACTTTCCTGACTTGTTCTCCTGCTGGATTTGTGGACGTCTGGAGAGGGGTTTGGGGTGGGATTAAGAGGGGAGTGGATAGGGAGTGGGGAGTGTCTGCTCTCTCCTGTCCACTCTCTTCAGCTTTTGCCAAAAGTGAGAATCAGGCGGGTGGGCATTGATCTCTTTTGTTTGGCTCCTGTGCAGGTGTCTATTGTTCAAAAGGGAGGTTTCATCTTGTACACACACCCAGCTCTTTCCTTGCTGGGAGCGCTTTTTTTTTTTTTTTTGAAAATCAAACTAAGGAGATTATGATCTATTAATGGCCTCCCTTTCAAGTATCAAAGGCTCTTATGAGTCAGGAAAGAGAGAGAGAGGGAGAGAAAGAGAAGACCTGTAAGAGTGATTGTAACTCATAGGTGGTTTCCAAGCCAAAGATCTCCAGTTTAGATGGCCAACATCCATGACTTGTGCAGGCAAAAACCTGCCAATAACCAAGGACCCTCGGAGGAAGGTGAAGAAAGTTCCTTAGACTCCTCCGAGGTTTATGAGGTGAAAGATCAGTAAAAATGGAGTGGGGAATTTTTAAACAGTCAGACTCATGGTAAGAAATAGTTTGCCCCATTTTGAGTTTGAACAATAAGATCAAATAGTATAAACAGGAGTGAAATAACTGTTGTAACCAAGATTCCAGGGGCCACAGTGCAGAATCCACCATTTGACTCTCCAAGGAAAGCTTTAATCAGTTGACCACCCCAAAACACATGTGTCTCTTCCATGGCCTTCATGTTTTCCAGTTTCCTAGGGGAGAGAAAGGATCATGTGGAGGATTTTTTTTTTTTTTTGGTCCGGTCGTGGGGCCTGAACTCTGCGCCTGGGCGCTGTCCCTCAGCTCTTCAGCTCAAGGCTAGTGCTCTACCATTTGAGCCACAGCACCACTTCCCGCTTTTTTTTTCTGCTTATGTGGTGCTGAGCAATTGAACCCAGGGCTTCATGCATGCAAGGCAAGCGCTCTTCCACTGAGCCACCTTCCCAGCCCATGTGGGGATATTTTTAATTTTTGTTCTCAAGTAGTGGAAGAAGCATTAAAAAACAAACATAGCTAGTGAGAGAAAAAGAGAGAGAGGGGAGGGGGGATTTTCAATTTAAGTCTTTCAGCAAGATTCTCTTAAAACACGCTATCTTCCTTATTCTGATAAGCCATGGATGGTTTTGCCTTGTCTTGTAATATTTCCTTCTATTTTGGGTCTTTTTGTTTATTTATTATTATTTTTCCTGTCAGAAAAAAATACGATATGAAAAAAATAATAAAGTAGGGCAATTAAAAAATTAATGTTCATGTTGACTTTATGTGAATATGAAATGTGATTTTTAGATGCACTTTGGGCTTTCTGCAGCATAGGATTGCTTTAGGGATCACACGAAGACACTGGTTTTATAGATTTGGAGCAAAGTCTAAGACTTTTGGGTTGCTAGCAAGCTCCCAGGGAAAGCCTGTGTTGCTGGTCTATGGACCACACTTGCCTAAACTAAACATAGAAGATAATACTATAAAATGATAGGTTCTATTAGCTACTATTTTATAAGTGAGAAAGCTGAGACTTAGACAGGTAACTTGATTCAGTACTCATTGCTACCAACAGGCAGAGTTAGGCCTGGGACCCAGGACTGACCAACTCTAGAATCAAGACATTTGCTCCTGAAAATTCTCTTGTTCCCTGACATAACATAGCATTCCCAGTGCTCATTTTAATCACACTGAGCTTTGTAAGAAGAGGGCAGAGGTGCTATCTGTTACTTAATACTTTACAAATGCCTATGGCTTGCATCTATGAATAGCTTTTCAGTGACGTAGAGTAGATGGTGGTAGTTGGAGGGTGGGCTGGTATGCAGCTTTGGAAGGAACACCTGGCTGTGCATTCCAAACCTGAACTAAGAGATCTTGTTATTTGCCTTAGGACCCTCGAGTGGGAGTCAAGAAGGTGGAGTGAACACAACCTCTGGTCCTATAAGGAAGCCCCAAATTCCAGGTGAGTTTCAAAGTGTGAAATCAAAAAAAGGTTTATTTAAGCTGAGTTTCTCAGAACATTCCAGAAAGGATCAGAAGAGACCCGATCAAATGCACCTTCTCTACCCCTTGAGTCTAAATGGCAAGTTTAAGGAATTGTTGTGCATGGTCTCAAGATAGGAAAGGGTAGAACTGAATGCCCGTTTAGGCCTGTCCCTGACCTGTTTCAAAGAAGGACTGTGTTACTTACTAAAACTTCCGCCCCATATGAGTAAGCATCCACAGGACTCCATGTGGCCCTCGGAATGTCCACAAATGATACATAATTATTACAGAGATTTTCTTGAAAGTACAACTAAACATTTGGAAATATAAATTTGTTATTATCTATCTCACCATCCAGAAACACTGTGCTACCATTTTGAAACACACACACGCACACACACACACACACACACACACACACACATGCACACACACACACACACACACACACACACACACACACACAACTTTTAGACGTAACATGTTTTTTAAGAAATGGGAATATCCCACGCATGCTGTTTGATCAACCTTGCCTGCAGGTTGGCCACAGCTTTCCATATCATTCCATACTTTCTTTTGAGCTGTAGTATTTAATACGATAGAGATACCCTAATTTATCTAATCAGTCTTTTACCATGGAATATTAGGTGGTCTTCAACTGTTATTGTTATAAATAAAACATCCTCACAGCTAATTTTGAGGTTCTATGTATATTAAAACATAGAGCAGATATAGGAAAGGAATGCTTCTTTCAAGAGAAGCATAAATTTCTTTTAATTTATTTAATAATACCAAAGGCATCTACAAGTCTCCACAAGTCATCCAGCACAATTTTGGAACCACATTTCTCCTGGCAGTACTTGAAAATCCTGATCGATGATAAAAGATTTACACAAGAAGCTGTTGTACAAATACCCACAGCAAAAGTGCTCTTTTAGATTGCTCTACCTATTGGCTTGACTTTTTAGTCAAGTCTCTTTTTTTTTTTTAAATTTAATTTAATTTTATTTGTGAACATACTGTACAGAGGAGTTACAGTTACATGGGCAGGATAATATGTACATTTCTTACCAAGCATTTAGTCAAGTCTCTTGTGGTGCTGACTGTGGCTCAAAGGTGGAGCGGGTCAGTTGTACAGTTGTACTCTGCTTTTACGAAGTCTATGTTGGAAGCTCACACATGTCCTTTGGCTCTGTCACACCAGAGTGGCTCATCATCCTGGCATCCCTCCTGGCCCTGGCTTTGATTCTTGCTGTTTGCATTGCCGTCAACAGTCGACGAAGGTAAGAGGAGCCCCCTTGGGGCCTTTAACTTTGAAGGGAATCATGTAACAGGTTTATAGCCTTAATTCTCAGTGTGGCTCCTGCCAGCAGCAGCCATAGCACTAAGGAACTTATCAGATGTGTGTTGTCTCAAACTTGACCCTAAACCTCCTGTATCCAAGTCTGTGTTTTAACAAGGCCCCAAGGATTTGTTAAAAACAAAAATAAACAAAACAAACAAAAAAACAAAAAAACCCTTCTCTACCTCATTCTTTAGAGATGGGCAACATCTATGATTTTTTTAGACCCTTACTTTAAAGTACTGGTTAAACCTCATCGTTCTTAACTTTTTCAGAGTTACTCTCTATTAGACTCTACCTGACAAGGTGAGGGAATGTCTCACTCACCTGGAAGGCACATAAAGTATAAACCCATTCATTGATTCATTAAATAAATATTTACTGAGTGTTTTCATGACTCACAAAATTTTGTATAAAGACTCAAGTCATCATCCTCTTTCGCCTGAGGCCCATGGATCCTTCTAGAAGCCTTACCAGAAGCAAGCATTGGTTCTGTGTTTTGTTTGTTGTCATGACAGTATTCTTGATTCTCTGGAAGCTGTGGTTGAAAGAATTCATGTTGTATCCTTGCAAAAACTTCCTCACAGGAAGCTATAGAAAAATGAAGAACTTTCCTTAGGAAAGTGGATAAAGACAGCTTTCTAGAACTATCAAGAAGGCTGTTTTCATCTCCTTAAAAGCCCCCCACTCCATCTCTCCCTACCTCAACCAAGGCTCATCATTTAATAGTTACTTCTGTGACTAAATATAACTCATTGAGCCATGACCAGGCTCTAGAAGCAATTGTTCATGGAGACAAGTGAAAGGAAATAGAAATTCTAGCAACGGAAGAAATGAATGTTAACTAGAGTACTCCTACAGAGGTTCCTAGTCCAGAGACTTAGATGGATTATTCTTCTCTGACCATGTGCATAGTAACTATTTGTAAATGTCTCTGAAGATTACTTCTTATAAGATTAGAGTTTTTGTTTCCAAGTAAAGGCACCTTTACTGTTTCTCGGAATCATCTCACAAGCCAGAAAATGCCCCTGGTTAGGAGAAATGTAGAGAGAATTATGGACCCTTTGTTGTTTGGTTTGAAAGCAACAAACAATGAATTCCAGCACTGGGCCCAGCTGCTGCAGTCTTCTGTAATGATCTGTCAAAATCAAATAATGCTGTTTGTTTGCTGGTCCTTGGTAATAAAAATGCTATATTAAGTTCAAATAGCTATGGTACTATCTCTGCCTTTTAGAGCATAATAAGAAAATATCAATCATGATTGTTAATCACATAAAGAACAAAAACTAGAGACCTCCTCTGGGCTTCTAAGGACTAAGTAGAAAGAGATTTTTTTTTTCAAGTTGAATTTAAATAACGTGACTTTGGGAAGCCCTTACAAAGAGTCTTTGTATTTTCCTCTGCTTCCTTGTTTTCCCTTGGATTACTTTTGCTCAATTAAATGTGAACCTCCTATTGTTTAAAGTCAGCACTGTTCCAGGTCCTAGTGTATGTCACTTCTGCACCTATAGTTAGTCTATGAGCTTCACACATGCCACCATGAAAACATTGGCGCCTGTGTTTTGGTGCAGGCAAGCTCTCTGGAAGCATCTCAGCTGTCCCCAAGAGAAGTTGGAGCCCGTACATTGTGGCTGCTTAGCTCCCACATCGCTCCCTGTCTCCTCAGCAACAAAGAAGGGGCCTCCTGGCCTCCCTCCACCTCCTCCCAAGACCATCAGTTACCCTAGCAACAAGCAAACAGAGACAGGCAGGATCCAGCACTGGGAGTACCTCACCGTGAAAGTAGCTGTTTGGACGCCATAAATTACTGTGTCCTGATTTGATAATTGAAAACAGATTTGCCAAGCAGCTAAAGGGTGGTTAATGGCTGCACAGTCCCCTCTATGGGTACTGTGTTCCTAAAGCTGACAGCCCATTACTAATCCTCTTAGAGGGTTGGAGACTTTCTGCTCTGAGCCTTCCATTTAATAGAGATTCAGGATCCTATGTGCATCAAAGAAAGTTTGGTTGAAAATGAGGCCTCCAAGAGGGATTCATTTATTCAGCAAACTGCTCTGCCTACCAGGGTTGGCAGGGAAGTAGAGAGGAAAAAAAATGCAAAGCTGTCCCTTCCCTAAAAGAATCTTGAGGTTTAGTGGCAGTGTTATGCCTGCTACATTCCATTCAGTCAGCTACCATTTATTGAGGACATCCTCAGTGCCTGCCATTGGAATTAAGCTGATGATGCTGATATGAGGTTGAATCCAGGGCTTCCATGATGAGGGCTCTGCGAGTCTCCACAGCCTAAAGATGCAGATGGGGTGGGAAACAGTGCCATTATTTCTTCAGCGTTTCCTACCCTTGTCCTAATCCACAATAGTGTTCCTTGATGTGCTTGGTGAAACCAGACTCCTTGAATTACAGCTTCCCAATACAAACTGTACTCAATTTATTCTCCTTAACAGTACATTGTTCTGGAAGTCAATTGGTTGGTAGATCCTGGATGAAGCCCAAGAGAAGCAGCCTTCAGATGCCTTCTCCTTGGAAACTATCTAATATGTCTGGTTAGGAGAAAAGATAGTAGGACCTTGCCAGAAAAGGCTTCAGAACATCAGAATGATTTAAGGATGGCTGTGTAGAACAGAAGCCCTTCCCTATGTCATTTTCATGGATCCATTCAAGGCTCCTGAGCACTCAGAATGTGGCCTGTTCCACTAATGAAGTAAAATTTCCTGCTTGTTCTTTTTTCAAAAAAAAAAAATCTTTTTAAATTTATAGTTCAAGGCCTCTTGTTTGCTAAGCAAGTGCTGTACCATTTGAGCCAGACCCCCAGCCCATGAGAAAGTAAATTTTTTTGCCAGTCCTGGGGCTTGAACTCAGGTCCTGGGCCCTGTCCCTGAGCTTCTGTTGCTCAAGGCTAGTACACTACCACTTGAGCCACAGCACCACTTCTGGCTTTTTCTGTGTATGTGGTACTGAGGAATTGAACCTAGGTCTTCATGCATGATAGGCAGGCACTGTACTGCTAAGCCACATTCCCAGCCCTGAGAAGTGAATTTTCAGTTGCACTGATTTTACTTTTCAGTTTAGTAAGTTTAAATCTCCACATGTGGCTGGTGGCCCCTCTCTTATATGGCACAACTCTAAAACACTATAAAATAAATCCCCTAATAATCTTTAAGGATTACGTCAAATTGGTTGCAATGTTCCAAAAATTTCACCATGCCTTAAAAGTGTATTGTATAGATTTAGACTCCATGTAGCCTGTCCACTCTCTCCTGATGAAGTCCCAGTCTAGTTGTTTATATACTGTGTGATCAGCTGATTCCTAAGATTTAAGGGAAGAGGAACAAAGGCAGGACTTGGTTCCATGAGGATCTCTAGTCTTTGGAATCAGAAAATCTAAGTCAGGATTTTAGTGGTGAGTAAGTAGAAGTGCAGCTTTGGTCCTACTGTCAGGTTCCTGGATGAAAGCGTTGGGATGAATGTGAGAAGCCTCTTCAGCTCTCTTATTCCTTCTTCATTCCTATAACTAAGAAAAAGGCGCCAATCAGAACTTGTTCTTTTAAGAGTCCTTACCAGGCTGGAATGTAGCTCAGTGGCAGTGTTTGCCTAGCAAATGCAACATCCTGGGTTCCATCCATTACTAAAATAAGAAAAGAAAAAAAAAGTTCTTAGCAAATGCCTACAGCACTCAATAGTGGATAGTTATTGATAAGAACAGTCGTATTCACTTGAAAGAACACAGATAATGGAGACATAGAAATCCAAAGGGAAATGGGGTAACCCAGAGGTCAAGTGCAATAATCCTACATCCTACAGGTCTAGTGTTCTCCACTTGCAAAATCAGCTTCATTTAGATTAATAACATTAATCCCCACCTCACTGCATGCACAGACATATTTTTATGCTTACAAATCACTTTTCCATAATCTTTCATCCCACGTCTCAACCACTCCAGTGGGTAGGCTAATAGGTATTACTTTAATTAGGCAACTTTCCTCCAAAGAACACATTTGAGATGTTGGAATAATATGAGCAGTATTCTACTTCAAGCCTTTTACGTCATTGGCATAGTGTATCACACAAGGCAAGTGGAGACAATCAGAGGAAACCAGTAAAGTCCATAGCATGGACTTCACACACACACACACACACACACACACACACACACACGTGTATATAATCTATTATATATAAATATATTTGCACACATAAATATGTAAGCATAAATATATCAATGAGTGTGTGTGTGTATATATATATATATATATATATATATATGAATGTATATATAATGTGCATGCGTGCACCAGTACTAGGACCTCAGCACTGTCCTTTAGCCTGTTGTGCTCAAGGCTGGCACTCTACCACTTTTAGCCACAGCTCTACTTCCAGCCTTTTGCTGCTTAAAGATAAGAATCTCAGGGATTGGGAATGTGGTTTACTGGTAAAGTGCTTGCCTAGCATGCATGAAGCCCTGGGTTTGATTCCTCAGTGCCACATAAACAGAAAAGGCCAGAATTGGTGCTGTGACTCAAGTGGTAGAGTGCTAGCCTTGAGCACAGAGAGAGGCTCAGGGACAGTGCCCAGGCTCTTAAGTTCAAGCCCCAGGACTGACAAAAGAAAGAAAGAAAGAAAGCAATAAAGTAATAAAAAAAAGATACAAATCTCACAGATTTTTTTTTTCCTCTCAGGCTGGCTTTGAACTCTGTTCCTCAGATTTCAGCCTCCTGAATAGCTAGGATTACAGGTGTGAGACACCTGTGCCCAGTGCAGCCAGTACTTCTTAATGCTTGCTATCTTCCAGATACTGTTCTAAATGTTTGTCCAAGACCTTAGTTCCCTAGCCCACATTATTCATAATTTCACCTAATAGTAATAATACTCATTTATTAAGGTCTAAGCTCTGTTTCAAGGGCTTTTCACCATCCTATGAGACTGATACTTTTCTTTCTTTCTTTCTTTCTTTCTTTCTTTCTTTCTTTCTTTCTTTCTTTCTTTCTTTCTTTCTTTCTTCCTTCCTTCCTTCCTTCCTTCCTTCCTTCCTTCCTTCCTTCTTTCTTTCTTTCTTTCTTTCTTTCTTTCTTTCTTTCTTTCTTTCTTCCTTTCTTTCTTTCTTTCTTTCTTTTTAAAACTGGTCTTGAGCCTTGGACTCTGGGCCTGGGCCTTGTCCCTAAGCTCCTTTTGCTCAAGGCTAGTGCTGTTCTACCACTTGAACTACAGCAGCATTTCTGGCTTTTTCTGTGATTAATTGGAGGTAGGAGTCTCAGGGACTTTCCTTCCCTGAGCTGGCTTGAACCGTGATCCTCAGATCTAAGCCTCCTGAGTATCTACGATTATAAGCATGAACCCCCAGCACCAGGCTTGAGACGGATACTCCTAATAGCCCAATTTTGCCAGTACGAAAATTGCATGTCAGAGAAGTAAAATGAGTTGTTCTAGGTCACACAGCTGTAAGGTCTCAAAATCAAACTTTACAAGGCAAAGTCTCTGCTCTTGTCCATGCACCCTGCTGTCTGTTTATGGAGGCTTCATCAATATTTACAGCATATATAAATTTACTCCATAATTGAAGCATCTTTTCTTCTACCTTTCCCCCAACCTATGCCAGAGGATACAGGATCTACCTCCTGTTGAGGCTGTGTAATTTCTACTTCCCCAAACAAGAGCTTAAAGTTTATTGCTTTGGCAATCCTACAGGGAATGGCCCGTGAGCATGAATAATAGAGGCTTTGTCTATACGACTCCAAATATCCAGCGGCAAAGTGAACAATTCCAACTTCAAACTGTTTCCAAGCCTCCAGATGGTCCACAGCATTGCTAGAGCTGGACAGTGTCTTCCTGGGCATTTGGTCATAGAGCTCTAGATCTGAATTTTAACTCTGTCATTCTTATCTCCTGTGTGACCTCAGTTTCTCTGGGCCTCAGTTTCCATTATTGTAAAATGGAATAATAGCTTCCTTGTAGGATTATTGCTAAGATTGTCAGCTTAAGGATTATTTATACAGTGTCTAGAATTCAGGAAGTGGTTAACAAATGCTGGTCCACATTCTATCTTCTGCAGCTCACTTGTAGTTGTTAAGTTGTATGACTTTGCTTCCCATTCAGTGTAATCTAATTGCAATGTATGCAGTAGTGGTCATGTTATAGGAAATAGGAAGTATTGTGTCAGGTTGGAAGAATCGAGCAAACACTATCCTATCAATATTCAAGATAAGACCAAAGTCATGCTCCATTTTGGAAGACCTTCTTTGAATCTTGAGTAATGTTACCAAGAAACCTTGAAGCAACAGTGACTTAGGCTCTGTTACATTGTTAGCTCCTATGTCAAGCTGTACAAAAGTTTACCAATGTTATGGAAAAATCAATATGGCTTTCCCCTTCCAGAACAATGTTGTTTTATTCTTTTCTGTCTGTGTGGGAATAATACTGACAAAAGTGTTGAATAAGAGAGGAAGTTGTGGGACTTTGTTGAATACACATATCAGAATGATTTACTATCCTCATGGTGAATGGTTTATCTCAGTCTTCAGAAACTACCAAAGTGCTTACAAGAAGCAAATATTTCCACTTCTCAGTATGGTAGAAAGAGAATGAGAAGCTGGGAGTCAGACAGACCAGGGTTTCAATCTTGACTTTTTTTTATTGCTTGTTCAATGACTTAAGAGTATTATTGAATTTTCTAATGCCCAAGATCTTTTCATTTGTAATAAGGAGATAATATCAGCACTGGATTCCCAGAGTTGTGATTACTGACTCTTGAACTTGATCGTGTGCCTTCTGAGGACCTCAGATCTTGGGTGTTACCCCAAGAGGTTTCTGATTCAATTGGTCTGGAGTGAGGCTGAAAATTCACATTTCTAACAAGTTCCCAGATGCTATTTTTTTTCCTCATGGTACAAGTACCTCACTTACACAAGGGTCAGTTGTCACGAGTCAATTAGCAGAAAGTATAGAAGGTACCTAACTCTGCTTGGCACATATGAAGGTCATGTTAGACAGTAATGATGATTGCCACAATGAAGAAGATGGTGATGATCATGATGATGTCTCTGAACCCTTTCTCATTTTTTTTTTGTGGGGGGGAGTCAGTAATGTGGCCTGAATCTGGGCCTGGGCATTGTCCCTCAGCTGTTCAGCTCAAGAATAACACTCTACCACTTGAGCCACAGCACCACTTCCAGTTTTTTCTGCATATGTGGTGCTGAGGAATCAAATCCAGGGCCTCATGCACTCTACCACTGAGCCACCTTCCCAGCCCAACTGCACCCTTTCTCATACAATGTTTTTAAAAATTAATAGGTGTGGACAGAAGAAAAAGCTGGTGATCAACAATGGTAATGGGACCGTGGAGGACAGAAAGCCAAGTGGACTCAATGGAGATGCCAGCAAGTCTCAGGAAATGGTGCATTTGGTGAACAAGGAGTCATCGGAAACCCCAGATCAGTTTACAACAACTGATGAAACACAGAACCTGCAGAATGCGGATGAGAAGATTGGGGTGTAACATCTCTGCCGTGATTTTGGAAAGAAAACATAGTTGGAGATAAAACTATTACAGGGAACTGGGACACTTAACAGATGCAATGTGCTACTGATTGTTTTATTGGGGGATTTTTTTTAGCATAAAATTTTCTACTCCTTTTTGTTTTCTTGTATTTTTTTTTTCCCCCTAAAGTCAGGTCCAATTTATAAAAAACAAAACAAAAAAACAAAAACAAAAAAAACATTGCTTTCTGAAATGAGAGCCCAAACAATTATCCACAAGAATTTGACTGTTCCAGTTCCCACCTGGAGGCCTTGCTCACCTTGTGGTATGCTAAGAATGCCTTCTAACAAATGATACATGTACATGTTCCTGATCCCAGTATCTCCCTACCCTACCTTTCGGGTCATAGCTACCTGCTAAGATGGCTAAGTTCTTGCTAAGTTCCCCAGAACTAAGAGGGATTGATCCCTGGGAGGAAATTTGAATGGGTCCATATTGCCTCTCCAGCAGCTCCATCCCTGGACATTGCTTTCCAGTGGGGGATGGGATCAGAGCATACACAGAGTGTAATGGTACAACCTCTCTCTTAGATACTCCTAGGAAATTTCAGATGCATCTGGGAGACATCCAAAGGGTAAAGCTATTTATCTGTAGTAAGCTATTTATCTGTGTGGTTTTTTTTTTTTTTTTTTTTTGGAAATATTAAGCCCTGAAAGCCCTTTGATCAATATATGATTGTTGTTTTTTTTTAGGTTATTTTGTCAGAGGCATAAAAAGGTTTAACCTGATTCATAATAAACATCTGTATGTCTTCCATTGTAACCTTTTGTGCTGTGATTCTTCACACGTACCCATGTACCTTCACATGTACCCAGCAGAAGCTGGGTCTCCATAACTCATGAGAATGATTGAGAATGGTCATCCATTCATCTCAGAGCTCTGGTGCCACACTCAGACTCACATAGCCAAAGCTCACCAAAGACAAAGAACAGAAGCACTATTTTATTTCTACGACTGTCCAAAGGCTTTCTTTCCTATTCTAGTTCAGAATTTTGAGTGGAGGGCTGGGAAGGTGGCTCAGTGGTAGAGCGCTTGCCTTGCATGCCTGAGGCCCTGGGTTTGATTCCTCAGCACCACATAAGCAAAAAGTAAAAAGCCAGAAGTGGCGCTGTGGCTCAAGTGGTAGAGTGCTAGCCTTGAGCTGAAGAGCTGAGGGAAAGCACCCAGACCCAGAGTTCAGGCCCCATGACCGGACCCAAAAAAAAACAAAACAGAATTTTGAGTGGAAAGTATTTCTATGGCCACCCTTTGTCCTGAAGAGCCTTGAATGTCACATTTAATTTCCATGGCCTACCACTTGTGAGATCCCATTTCATAGACACTGACCTTTCAGTGACTGACAACAGAATGCCACTGGATATCTTATAGTTAAAGGAGACACCAACAGAAATGACACTATAGTCAGAGGTCCACTGATTAATCATACGTGGTGAGGGAGAATGCAGGGTGGATCCTGTTTGACTATTTTATGGCTGCCTTTGTTTCCGATTTAATAAGCCACTTGCCTGTCTCCAAGGCACAACTGCTCAGGATAAGTTGCCTAGGGAATAATCAAAAGTTACCGGGCTTCCCATTATTATGGTATTGTCACAGATAAGCAGGTAACTTCATTCTTGCACTTGACAAAATCCTGTGTTCATTAGTCAAGATGTCCTGTTGGTCCTGGAATTTCTAAAGGCTACTTGTAATCTATAAAGCAAGGGTGCTTGGGTTCAGGAAAGTCGCTTGTTTATGAAGCTCGAATGCTTAATATTTCTCAAGTCACAAAACAAACCAGCGGGGTGAAAAAAATCTCCCACCTAAATCATCAGGTCTGGGTTTTTACAAAGAGTAGATCTGAAGGATATATTTAAAGGAGAGATACAAATGTTCTACATTCTTTCTCAGTCCCTGCTCTCTTGCAATCCACCTCTCTACCCCTAGTATGATTTTTTTGGGGGAGAGTCATTCGTGGGGCCTGGGTTTGGGCAGTGTCCCTGAGCAATTCAGCTCAAGGCAAACCCTCTACCACTTGAGCCACAGTGCCACTTACGGTTTTCTGGTGGTTAGTTGGAGATAAGAGTCTCATGGACTTTCCTGACTGGGCTGGCCTTGAACCACAATCCTCAGATCTGTTTCCTGATTAGCTAGGATTACAGGAGTGAGCCACCAATGCCCAGCCACTATGACATTTTTTTTTTTTTTAAAAAACAAACCTTTCTCTATTTTGGGAAATGCTGTTGGCCAGTTCCATATTCAGCTGCCTAGTTTTCTTTTTCTTTTTTAAGTTGAAAGTAAATGTGCATCAGACCCTTCTATTGTTTCTTCTGCTGATAATAAAAATATTTCTTCTAAGAACTTCCTTGTGTCTGTCTTCCTCCAGACAGGCTCCTCAGGCTCTTTAACCTGAATGCAAGTGTGCTATCTCAGGCTCTACCTGTCCCCTAGCTTCTCTGGAACACATGGAAAGTCATGCAAATATCACAGCTAAGGACTACCTCCCTACTATTCTTGACAGTTCCAACTATTAGCTTAGGTTAGGAGATTATCTGACATAATTATCAACAAATGACTACATGTCATTCCTACTAATAATTTGCCAAGGTATTTTGGTTAAGTCATTCAACTAGGTCTTATGTATAAAAGAAATGGGCCTGCACTGAATTGTTTTGCAAAACAGCAAGAGAGTTAAGAGATCATTTTCCCTGAAACTAGAACTCTTCCATATATCCTGAGGACTTTCTTACATTTGGTCTGGGTGAAAAGTCAGATGAGGCACAATACTCCTCAAGTTCATATAGTATATGACTATGGTGTTCATATGGTATAGCCCAACTAAACGTATATTTCCAGCAGAAACTCTCAAAAAGTTGGACATTGAGATCTATAATGCCCAGGATCGATTTTGTGATTGGCATCTATTCAATACTGCCACAACTGGAATAAAAGCTAACATTAAAAGACTGAAGGAAATGGACTCAAGAGTCTCTAAGGGGGGTGGGAGGTAGCAAGGGGTAGAACAATGATTATGTGGCCATTTAGGGATACAGAAACATAAAAATCAAATGTTTTCAAGGTGACTTGAGACTCAGTCATTTCTTCTAAAAAGAAAGCCGTGGCACATTCAGTTAAACCACACTCCTGGTCTCTTCACTCACTCTAAAGCTCCTAGTCTAGAGGGAATGGGGCCAGCCATAACTCCTGAGCTTTCTTGATGGTGTGGAAGGGGCTTGGGAAATAGAGAGTGAAATAGCTCACCCAAGGGTATTGCATCAAGGGAGGATCCTGACTGTGAAGGGCTTGAAGGATGGGTAGACACTGGAAAGTGGATACAGAAGTAGGGCCCAGCCTGACTTCCCTTCCCCAACAGATGGCCTGTGCTGTCCCTGCCTCTGGGACTGAATGTTAATGCAAGAACATGGTTGCTGCTTCTCCATTTCTCAAAGGAACTTGAAAACCTCTGTTACTGCCTGCCAGAAAGTGTTAGCCCAAATGATAAGGAGTAGAAATTCTTACAGTAGACTTATAAGAATAAAGGCCAGTCTTGGATGGGCTTTCAGATCTAGATGAGGAAGCTACATGCACTAGATCAATGGTTCAAGCAGTTCAAGGGAACCCAACAACATGGGGAGAGAAAGACTATGCTAGTTTGATGGTGATGGATGTAATGATGCCAAGAACTTCTAGCTCTGCAAGACATCTTCATTCTCCCTCTCTAAGAACTGAGCCAGTTCTTCTGGGTCTGTTAGCATCGTGATCTTAACAAAAGCTCTTGGACTCTTCTCTGTCATATTCCCCATCTCCTACGTGGCTGGACCATACTGTCTTCCTCTGTTTTCAGATTTCCTTTCGCTTACTGGTTGGGGTTCATGCCCATCATTTCAAATTAGTGACCAGATGTGGGATACATTTATGGCCTATGTGTGTTCCATTAGATCCCAATGTCTGCCATTAGCAGCCATGTCTCTAGAGCCTTTGTCCCATCCCTGGAAAACTTCCTTCCACCTACTCAACTTCCTTCCATTTCCCCTGAAAGCCTTTGCCTGGAGACTTTCCCTGACTGTTGTAGCTCAGTCTGTAGAATGAAGGCAGCGGGGAAATAATTCCCACTATCAATAAATGACTATTAGGCACAAGAGTACAAATACTCAAGCTCTCTCCTCCACTAGTGTCACCATAGTCGCCCTAAGGTCAATCTGTCAGATTCCTCTTTTTTTGGGGGGGGGGGCCAGTCGTGGGGCCTGAACTCTGGGCTTGGATACTGTCCCTCAGCTCTTCAGCTCAAGGCTTAGCGCTCTACCACTTGAGCCACAGCGCCACTTCTGGCTTTTTTTCTTTTTGCTTATGTGTACTGAGGAATCGAACCCATGCATGCAAGGCAAGTGCTCTACCAATGAGCCACCTTGTCAGCCTCTGTCAGATTCCTCTTGAAGGAAGGATGTGTTGGCCCAGCTGCTAGCAAAGGTAGTTGTTATCTCCTAGTCCCTTCCTACCTATGCTCTACTACAAAGAGTTGCCTTCTCCAAGGTCAGACTTGTTCAGTTTACATGCTATGTGGGAACAGGACGATGAAAATCTAGTCATGTTGGGCCAACACAGTGTGACTGAGGACCCACCTAGGTTCAGAGATACTCAAAGGATCTCTACCTGTGGCTCCTGTCACACTCTCTCTGCTGGCGGCTGTCCGGTGTCTGTGAATTAATAAAAAATATATATTTAGAAAGAGAGAAAGGGGGAGAAGAAAACCTATGAATTTCCATCAGTTACAGTTCTTTGGAGAAAATTTGATATTTCCATAGGAGGTGAACAATTGTAAGATCTATATTGTTCATACTAAATGAGATACTGTGCAGTGTTAGTGTCATAAAAGCCCAGAGTGACTCCTAGGCTCCTATGAAAGAAAGAGATGTGAACATAGTCACTTCCATTCCCTTATGAGGGCCTCTAAAAAGGCAATGAAGAGAGATCACCAGGTACCGGATTGCAGAACAGCGGATCGCCAGGAACAGAGAAACTTACCAGCCGGAGTCTCCACGAGGATCCCACCCCCACCCCTCACTCTCCACCGGAGCGGAGAGGCTCCATCCCGCCAAAGCCGCCTGGCACCAGCAGCACGACAAAGGGACCTGTCGGCAGACCACCCGCCCAATCGCGATCGCAACTACCCGGCGGGGGGGGCCGCCCAACCCAGCCCGCAACCACCCCAACTGAACTCGGATTGCAACAACAACTGACGACCTACAGGGTGAGTACCCAACAGGGGACAGTGAATCCATCAAGGGAGACCAGAGCTGGAGGGAATCCCCAGACCCTGACCTAGACTCCCTACCCCAACACCCGGACCACAGGACCCACTAAAACTGGGAACTGTTCGAGAGCTCCACCAGCCGGTGGAGCACACTCTGCTGGCCAGGCCAGAGCAAGAGCGCTCCTGGAAGGGAGCTTAAATGCCCAAGCCAGGAACAGCGCCCCTGGGTCAAGACTACCAACAGTAGAAGAAATTTGAACTGTGTCCTCCAGGCTGCATAACCTAGATGGTATACACATTAGCACAGGCCTAACGAGCGCGCTCCAGGCTGGGGCCGGAACCAGGCCCGGGGACCGGCGCCTGAACAAAGCAAAAAGGGTCAGAAGTGGGGCTGTGGCTCAAATGGTAGGGTGCCAGCCCTGAGCTGAAGAGCTGAGGGACAGCACCCAAACCTAGAGTTCAAGCCCACAACCAGCCCAAAACAAACAAACAAAAACACATCAGGAGCCCATAGCAGACTCCAGTATTTGGGAGA